CATATACAATATTACACAGTAACGCACATCCATCCCGCACGGGTATCATGTAAAAAACCTATAAAACATCAAAAAAAAACCTATAAGATGTCAACTTGTAGACTAGATATAGATAGAGGTTATGTTCAAAGTTATAAATTACGAAAAACTGAGGAGAATTACGAGAAATCATCACCGCGCCCGCGTTGTGTCGTTGTGTGTAATTACTGTTAGCATGTATATGGCTTGTAATTCGACAGTGTACAGTGAATATAATTATTTATTATCTCTGTCATTTTTGAAATTCAGCAAATTTGTTTATGTAATTTCCAGAATGGATAAGAAAAAGTGGATGCGCAACTAATTTCTAGCTTTGAATCTCAATTAAGTGTATTTGAGACAAGAACCCGATGTAATTATCATCAACACATAACTTACAGCTTAGACCTCCAGTAATGCCATCTCGGAAGCAGATTTTACATCACATCAGAGTCAAAGATTAATAACAAGCCTCATGACGTTTAGGCAACACGTACAACTAAGTGCTATGTTAACATCTTGTAGAATAACCTACATTATGTCAAAAAAAAACAGCATAATGTCAAAAAAAATCGGCATAATGTCAAGATACGTGATACCCGTGCCGGTGTTTCCGACAAAAGTTTAGGGACGCAAAAGTGTCGCACTTTGGCTTCAGTAATTGACATACAGGAACCAAACTCTCGTACCTAACATAACACTGAGCGCCAGTCACGATTTTATAAAATCCTTGCCGGCGATGTTGTCAGACGTGAAGCAGAATTTATACGACACCCTAAAGCGAAAACTTCAAAATAAATAAATGTCAACTGTCAGTAAAGTAAGTAAATATTTTTTTCCAAAGGAAACTTGATATTTTTTTGTGTTTATCAAAATTAAACCCAATAAATTTTGTGCCACAACTTTTAGGACATACGTTAAGTGCAAATGTACGAAGAAATCCTTGATGTGTGAAATATGTACTGATAGGTGCGTAACATTACTGGGGCTGGAAGCGTATAAATATACTGCCACCAACAAAATGTGATATAACTCCCCCAACCCCCGATTTTCAACCCTTTCAAACATCTTGAAACAGATCAGGAGCATCTGAAGCGTAAAAAAACTAAGTTTGAGTAACTTTTTTTAATGATCTTGCATCTAGCTTCGCCGACACTGGACCGATCTACCAAAAAATACAAAGGTTTTTCGTCCCTGAAGTAGAGGGAAAAGGCATTGCAAATGTGATTAATAGATTGCAAAAAACAATATAAATGAAACGAAAACTTAAATATAAACAATAAAAAATATTGCTTCTGTGTACATTTGAAATACTTGTATCTTAGCAAATGGGTGAATAATGCGACTGCGAATGCTCTTCATATCGTCAAGTTGTGTTGCTGTGCTATGTTGTATATCCTGCGCTTCTGTCTTGCAACGCCGAGACCCCCAACGAATCATCTGATTATCTCGATCTGTTTTCGAGTAAATACGATATGCCTGCAATAATTATTATCTTTCTTATACGAGGGAAAGCATAATTTGGGCTATTTTAGTACCTGTGTTCATCGTGTTCAGTTCTACATTTTTTGTCTCCAAGATCAGTTGATTTAGATGATAGATGACAGAGAGGTAAGTTCTGGCATACGTAAGCTGCAGTTATACCTTGACTTGACTTCCTTTACTCATCAGGGGATGCCCAAAAATTACCGAGCTTCCAACTGGCAGAAAAGCGAATCTCTTTAACAAAAAATGTCAAAGATAGATTATGCGATTATGAACACTGTATGAAAAAAGCAGTCAATGTAAATAAAGAGTAAATCATAGTTTTAGATGCATAGTAATACCTCTTACAAAATGGGCACCTAAGGCCCGTATCGTCAGTCGTCCCTACAATTGTAGGGCACCTTGATTGTCATAGTTCTCTACTTCTCCGTGTCAGCGCTCTATTTTGAGGTTATGTCCCAAACATCTATTTGCATGAAATTGTGCTAGCTTTTAAGTTATATCATGTTTTATCAGCCTGAAATTTCCTACAATTTAAAAAGAAAACATATCTTCACAATGGGAGAGCGCAGACGCTGACACGGGACAGGTGCAATTTAGAAATTTTTGAAGGAGAGAAAGCAGTATGACAATCAAGGAGGCCATAAACGCGCCCTACAATTGTAGGGACGACTGACGATACGGGCCTAAAGCTCGATAACGTAGGCAGTTTTCGAAATATTAGAGATGCAGATATCTGCTGATATAGCTGATGACATCACTGGGGAGGGGCTCGGGATTCAGGATTCGGATTCATGTTCAGGAAGCTGTTCGCCTAGGGCGGGGGCAGATTATCGGTGATAGAATATTGAAGAGCGAATGAGTTTTTTTTCGTAAACTCTTGGATATAGGGAAAGTTTTATATATATATTTATATGTGCTATATACAAAATGGTAGAGGATTTATATGCCTACAAAATTGTTCCTGTTACGTTCTTACATAGGCCCGATAGTTTACGAGATATCTGATGAAATATGTTTATCAAAATGGCCTAACCATGACGCCAATGTGAATATTAGAAATCGATGTCACCAAAAACATCTTCATGTATTATTTTGTTATTCAAAATTTTCCTACGAGTATTCCATGACCTACCATTTCGGTATCTATTGTGTCGTGTTCTTTTGCATCGCCATTGTCTGTATATATCGCCCTTCTAGAAAGAAGATTTTAAAAGCTTCTCGCAAAATTGTGTGCTATCTTTGAACATTTGGCATGTCTGGCACGAATCATTCACGTGAATCATTTTATCAAAGTAAAAATAGTTTTCTTCATGAACCTTGTCTGACCTCGGAATAATACTGATAGTGTGCAGACCCCCTATGGCAACAAGACGTGGTTCCCATGTTGTTTGTGCTAAAGCCAACATACGATATACACTATCATTGGCGTAGGTTGTGGGAAGGTATTAATGAAAAGGGTTTAAAAGACTCTATCTGCTTTTTGCAGCATTTAAATTTTAAGTGATGTTTCGAAAATAAGTGTTCAAGGTATGACAAAATGTTGTCAGAAAAAGGAGAATCAATACAGATACCAATTTTTTGTAAAAAACAATGGCGAAGCGTTCCCCACAAACATATGGAGACTTGCCGGCACTGCTATACAGGGTTTGTCCGGAAAGTAATAGGACTGAGTCGATTTAAAAAAATTTATTGAGCCAATCGTTACAATTCAAAATAGGCTCCTTCTGCGTCGATGCAACACAGAAATATTTAGAACGATGCATCTCCGTTGACCTGTAGAAAAAACAATCTTTAACTAAGTAAGTACTATAAAATTAGATCTATATTCTATATTAATGTGTCGTTAATGTTTTGCGGTTTGTATCATTTCATGTTGTCAGCACTAAATCGAAACGTATACCACGTCAAATATAGATATAGTATTTGGTTTCCTTATAATTCAGATACGCCACTGAGTATTTATATTTAAAATAAATTTCGAAAATCTCATTGATCCGTAATGAAAATATCGTTATCTTGTTTTGGGAACATATTTACGAAAATATTTCTCATACGTTTTAAGTTCGTGTGGCACAACACAGAATTCATACATCTTATACAAGGGTAGACGAAGTTCAAGTTTAATTTTCTGTTTGGGATCTTTGACCTTCTTTTGGCAGAGTGAAATATGTTCAGAAAATGCTCGCGGGATATTGTGCATGAACAAGAAACGCCATTAGATATATTACTTTTTGGTTCTAGAAGAGCGCATCAACTGAAAAGTGGTAATCATATTCGTGAAAATTGAAAGTCTCCCTTTAGACCATTTATTTATATTTACATTAATCAAACTCAGCGTGTTAATTGGGTTTTAACAATTTTAAGCGGTTTTTGATAATTTATTTTGACAAACTAATTTAGACGCATTATGCATAACAAGACTTTTTGTTTTTTTTAAATATCACAATAAATAAGCTTAGGAATTGGCACTCAAATGTTTTGGTGCATAGACCAGCCAACAAACTTTTCAAAATAAAAAGGAACGCTTGAAATGGCTACAATTCACAAACATGTAAATACGCAGATACTTAAACTAAATATAAATATAACAGAATGGCCGGAATCGGGTCTTTCATTTATCACGAATATGAAAGGCCGATGTTTATCACCTTGATCCAAATTCTTTACTCATGCACGAGTCGATCTACTTGACGCAACCAAATAAGATGGTGTGATCACAGCTGATGTATGTATAAATAGATCTGAGAATATGGCAATACAGCAACAGGTGATTTTGACAGTATCCTGGTATCACCTTATATCAGCTGCATGGTCGAGGTTACGTTGATGTAGGATGTAGATTTTTTCAATTTTAAAGAATGTGATTAAAATATTCAAATAGATTCTAAATGAGTGTTAAACTTGTTTCGCCTGCGGACTATGAAGTGGTGAATCTTGATCATTTGGAAGAAAATGCTAAAACCAAGAAAGTCCTACTGGAAAATGTAATGATTATTTATCTATTTATTTGCTAAGTCGAGTACAAGCTTTGATCCAGTCTAATAATAAAAAAAACGCTAAATTACGTGCCAGCTTACACACTTATGCAAAGGAAAAACTTTATGGTTGATAAAAACATTCTGTATTATATTTGTTATTCGGGACTATAATTGGTCTCTTTTTTAATTGATGCTTGTTACTTTATAAACTGTATTTTGAACTGCAAAACAGATTCAAACATAAAAAATTCATAAGACACCTGGTTGCTGAATGTATTGGGATATGTAGATGAGTACATCATAATCTCAGTGATTTGTATTTGAATTCAATGACCTCACTCCAATTTACTTCTAAAAAAACATCAAAGACCACTAATAATATTTTTATACTCAAATCTAGGTCTTAACCCTGATCACATTGATGGTTTTTTTAACAAATAAAATGATACCACATCTGCGGTTCTGACAAATAGTGAGACCATAAACAATTCTGATTATCATTATTGGGGGTCTGTAATTAATAATATGCTCATTTATGAGTGGAGTGTTATCAAAGCAACCTGACCTTTGACATTGTATATCAAGTGTATATAAAGAGCTGAATTCTAATTTTAATTCAGTCTTATCATTAACCTGTGGTCTATACTTGTAACATTTGCACTGCTTGTGAAAAGTTTTGTGCAAGGGATTGCAGTGAGTTGTGCAGCAAGTTTGAATTCTTTTCGGACTGTTTTGTGTATTGTTAAAACATATATAAATGCAGTCCTCGAGGGCAGAGAATATGTCCATTGTTGAGAAGTTCAGAATAAATCCTATTTATTATTCTGACTACTCTGATACTAACTAAGCATTATTTGTATTTCGTTTTATCGCCTAATACGAATTACCAATTTGATATTTGAGAGGAAAGACTAAAGAAACTTTGAAGACTGATTTGAAAATTGTATTTTGAAAAATGGATATCACTTCTTATGTAAGTAAAAAAAATTTAAGAACACAAATATTAAAACCAAGTTTGTAGATAAGGTTGTTGTTTAATAGAATTTAATATCAGAAATGTGGATGGACAAGATGAATTCAGTTTTGAGGAATAAAGAACAAGGTTTACCAAACTTTATCTTTACAAAATCTGTTAATAGATGTTTCGAAGCAATTACAAATTTCTTCAAAATCAATTGATATTCAAAAATATATATATAGAAGTTTTTTTTTGTTTCAGCATCCCATACTCAAAGCCTTTTTGGCAGGATCATTTTCTGGAACATTCTCAACTATTTTATTCCAGCCTTTGGATTTGGTGAAAACCAGGCTACAGAACACTTCATCCACAGTCATCAGGTGAGTAAACAATTTGGAATTTTTTTATTAGTATGACATGGTTTCCAAAAATATTCGTGGATATTTCTGAGCTAGTACTGAGGATTTCTATATCATTTAGAAATGTATTTTTTTTTCATTTCAGCCGCCATGGGACCGTCAGCATGGTTTCAACCCTTACAAATATTCTACAACAAGAGCATATCACTGGATTATGGAGGGGTATGGTTCCTGTAAGTATATACATTTGTAAAGTAAGTTGTTGGGGGAAATTGGCTATACATCAAAGGCGGATTTATGATAATTAAAAAGTGGGGGTGGGAAGTGTTTCACAATTCAGGTCTAACAATGTACTTTTACCACTAAGATACAGCAATATATACCATTTTGTTTGAAAATTAAATAGCAGACTTGGGCGGCTGAGGACCCCCTCCTTAGCCCCCCGCGTCCTGTTCTAAATCTGCTTTGGCTATTCATACTCATTTAGATTCTTTGCTTTTTATATACACTGAGAACCATTTGTCTGACAACTTGAGTTCAATGTGTACAAGAGAGAAGTGTGTATAGACACATACAAAGAGATATAAGCTCATCACCGCGTTGCCTAGCAACGCTGACGCGATGCCGGTTGCTTAAATTAGGATGCATGTTGAAAATATGCGTTAGTTTCTTTTCTACACCTAAATAATGGTTTTATTTTGAGCGTACACACGACCTTCTTCGGCACCGTCGCTAGGCAATGTGGTGATGAGCTTCGCTCTTCAGCCGGCTTCTATCTTTTTCTATCATGAGTTGACACACACTTCTTGCGCGTTTCTCTCGTATACATTCAACTCAAGCCATCGGACAAATTTGGTTTTTCTGACGATATGAAAAAAACATATGTTGGTACGACCAATTATTTTGCTGTGGTACCAGATAATTTATGGTGGATGTTCCACAGATTAGAGTGTATAAAAGTACTGTAAACATTTTTAACACACTGTTATCAGAGCTTGCATACATGATGGAAATATACGCTTGATTATGATTTGATGTATTTCCATTCAAATGTATGTATGAGGCCATTCAAATGTACGTATCAGGCAACAATTTGAATAATAGTATGATTCAACACCTACTCAGTGAATGTGATTGTAATTTAAAGACAAGTATGAACAAAGATGAACATGATAATTTTGTTATTACATCATCGAGTCCTACGGATAATTAAAATTCAATATTATATTTTTTTGGCTTTAATATGGGATATTTTGGAACTCTCTGAACAATCAGGTGTTGTATTAAGGTGTTGAACCCTACGAGAAAGTTGTTTAATTATAACTTAATCTAACTGGTGGGTTTTTTTGCAGTCTCTCACAAGATGTGTACCAGGCGTAGGCCTATACTTTTGCTTTTTGGACTCCATCAAGTCAAACTACTTTCAAAATAGGACCCCGACGGCGTTAGAATCGGTTGCTATGGGTGTGACAGCCAGATGTCTGAGCAGCGCTGCTTTGATACCAGTCACAGTCGTCAAAACTAGGTAAGAAGATATAAAAGGTTTGAATTCGAATTTTTCAAGAAAAAACACGTCTCGTTAGTAATGTGGGAATGGTTCAGGTGATTATAGTTTGAGGTAGATGTTTTCTAATGTGGTTTTTGTTCTTAATTTTCGTCACGTTTTATGTTTTGTTTTGTTTGTAGTGATTCTAGAGCAAAACCGAAAAACCTGTTTATTCGTTTTTAGTTGACACATGACGTGTTGTTTTACATACGGCTGAAACAGTAAATCCACCGTGAAAAGACAAATATTGCTGAAAAGTATAATAATTAGCTGATTGAAATTTCAGTATTGACTATTTTATTGTATTATGATTTTATAAGAAAACTGGAAGAAATATTTTTCCATTCACAGCTTCTCGATAGTTTGCAGTTTGGTCTTGCAATCTTCCAAAACAAGATTCTAATTTTGTTTCAGATTTATTTAGCATTAATGCTACAATATCCATGTTGCACAGTATATCACATTATATCACGTCTTCAAGACCACATATTTTTATACAAAATTTCACTAATATGAATTCTGGTTTTCCATGAAAAATTTTTCCATTTTCCCCTTGAACACCCCTTTAGAAATACTGACTTTCTCGTTATATTGCTACTTAAATTTTGTAAATGAAAGTCTATACTCCATCTAGTACAGGGTTTCCCGTGGAAAAATTCACTTTTACTTATTACTATGAACATATCCGTAAACTCGGCGGCTTTTATTTTTTAAATATCACGCCCCACAAATTATAATCGCATGATGTGAGATCGGGTGACCTAGAAGGCCAGTGAATGTCTCGAAACTTCGGTATAACTTTTTGAGGAAAAGCTGCTTTCACCATTATGGACTGTATGGAGAACTGCATGAGAGACGCACAAATTAGGAAAGTGGGATATCAAAGGAAACAGCCAACACTCTGGATTTCACAAAAAGTTTATGATCACTTAAACTGAGGAAGATTGGACACAATATAAGAAACAAGTGTTTTTAACAAATCTTAGGAACTAAAAGAAAAAATATTATGACAACAAAATCGATAGCAATAAAAATAACAGTAAAGTGATGTGGAAGACACTAAAAAATATTGTAGCTCCCTGTAGGAAGAATGAATTGTCAAGAATGTGCTTCGAAGATGGTATAGTAACACAAAAAATATTGATTGCAGAACGAGTGAACGCTTATTTTATAGAAAGTATAAATGAGATAGTGGAATCAATTAAAGATGGGGATCCAAATCTATGTCACATGCAAGTTACTTGTAATTCTTCTATGAGACAATTCCAAACAATAAATATCAGCCATCTTTCAAAAGCTATTACAAGACTGAAATCGAATAGAAATCCTAGTGAACATCTTTCAAAGGAATGTTTCAACATTAGTGGAGAGAAGTTATTATTGTTAGTGAAGCACTGTGTAGTGTGCGGCGAATTTCCTTCAAAATTAAAATGATCTACAATTACTCCTGTAACTTAAACTAAACACAAACTAAACAAAATATATGCTAATAGGAAAATCTTTAGATCAAAATACGATAAATCTTACAATTAATAATGAAAAAATTGTGTCAATCGAATCATTTAAATATTTAGGCATATACGTAGACAGTAAATTAAATTTTTTTAGGGCACTATGAATATATTATTTCAAAAATAACCAAGAAAATAAATTACTTTTATAGAATTTCGCGTAGCCTAAGCGTTTATTCTAAAAAAATTGTGTACAACACTATCATTCTTCCTCATTTGTTATATTGTTCGACTATTTTGTTTACTGCAAATTAAACTGTATTTTCAAAATTACAAATATTACCAAATAAAGCTATGAGAATCATCTTAAATAAATGTAAATATACTAGAATAAATTTTAGGCTGAAAGAACAACAATGGTTGAATATCAAAAATTTCATAGGCTACTTAGTTTTCATTTTCATATTCAAGTTAAAAAATCATCTTCTACCAAATCACGTAGAAAATTTTATTGTATTGAACAATGAGTGCCACAATTATTCTACTAGAGGAAGTATAGACTTTCATTTACAAAACTGCAGTAGCAATATAATGAGCAAGTCAGTATTTTAAAAGGGATTGCACGAATTTAATAAATTAAGTAATGAGATCAAGATGTGTCTCAGTTTGAAAATGTTCAAATGGAAATTGAAAAAGTATCTCATGGAAAACCAGAATTCATAGTAGTAAACTTTTGTATAAAAATATGTAGTCCTAAAGACATAATATATTTTGTGATATACTGTGTAATATGGATATTATGGACATTGTAGCGTTAATGCTAAATAAATCTGCAACAAACAAACAAACCAAGACCATCCTGTTGGAACCACGTGTTTTTTTCAAATTGACGTCCTGTTATTACAATAGGAGCAAAAAAGTGTCAATCATGTCCTTGTATCGCTCGGAACTGTCAATGCATCACCGTTTTCATCTTCAAAGAAATACGGCCTAATAATATAGCTAGAGGATATGGCGCGCCAAACAGTCACCTTTGGACTATGTAGCTGTTGTTGATGTTTCTCTTTTTTTCTTCATTATGCCATGCAGTGTTGACCTAGGGATTCCCAAAGCAGCGGAATGATCGAATCACTTACTCGACGCACATTTTCTTTGGTTGATACATTAGGTGTAGGGCCAGGAGTAGGTTGACTAAGAGGAGAGTCTTGGTCGGCGAATGTTTGAAATGTGACACTCTGTAGAATCACTGTGGTACTCATTGTTCAATTCAATAAAAAATGGGTGGATGCTTTTTTAACTTGAATATGAAAACGAAAACTAAGTAGATTATGCAATTTTTGATATTTCAATAGTTCCTCCAGCATAAAATTTATTCTAGTACATTTATTTTTATTCTAGATGATTCTCATAGCTCTATTTTGTAATATTTGTAATTTTGAAATTACAGTATCGTTTGCAGTAAACAAAAAATTACATGACAATTTTTTGTCTTGATCTGTTAGGATCCTGAAATCGTTTTTTATTACCAAATATTGCAAATTCATTACAATATTTATACAGGGTGGTCCAATCGTGGATAGCGATTATTTGTGTGCTCAAAAATTCAACTGTATTTTATCGTTTCAGAGTTGAAAGCGGAGTTTACTCCTACAACGGAGTTCTATCAGCTTTAAGAGAAATCTATCGAGCAGAAGGTGTCAAGGGTATGACTTGTGGACTTTTGCCGACTTTGTTTAGAGATGCACCCTTTTCTGGACTCTATTTGATGTTCTACACTCAGACTAAGACGATCATTCCACAAGGTATGTTTAATGTTGATAGAATGACATGTATTTTTAAATCAGAATTAAAAACCCTATTCAGTAGTGCAAAAATCGTTTCCGAGGTCCCAATGGTGAGGTTTGAAACACTCGTACGCTACTAAATATGTTGATCAACGTTTACACTTTATCTTCGGATTTAGATGGGGGAAAAATAAACTTATGACTAACTCATATATTTTTCAATTTCCAGATCTTCTGAACTCTCCATATTCTTCTCCAGTTCACTTCACGTGCGGCATAACAGCTGGAATCCTGGCCTCGATTGTGACTCAACCAGCTGACGTGTTGAAAACCAAAATGCAGTTGTACCCAAAAAAATTCAACGGCGTTTGGGCGGTTGTGGTTTACGTCCACAATGAACATGGCGTCCAAGGATACTTCAAAGGTCTTCTACCTAGGATGTTAAGGCGTACTTTGATGGCTGCGATGGCCTGGACGGTGTACGAGCAGATATCCAGGAAGATTGGATTGAAGTAAGCAGAATTTGAAAGCTTGGTTACCAAGAGACATCAACATGGTTCAAGAGCTAGCTTCACAAAGATTCTCACTTTGTCGAAGTTAGCTATTAATGTTGTATCTGAAAGGGGATACATTGAAATCGGCTCAATTTACAATATTTTATTTGTTACGGCATCCTGAAGAAAAGTCTCCAAGGGCACAAATTTCGATGATGGACGGTCGAAGCTCAACATTCCTGCGGTCTGCAGTTTGCCAGTTTTGGTCTACCAAACAAGCCTTAAAATGAACAAATCTTGAAATGTTTCAATTTAGCTTTTTGATAGCCTCAAAAATGATAATTTTTAACCGAGTTTTTAAGCATTAAGTATGTCCATTTTCAGCGTTTTTCAGACACTAACGCTTATAATTCGGATTAAGAACATTTTTTGTTCAGAATGATCCAAAAAAACTGGAAAATTTATGCTGGCCGAAGCTTTTTTTCTATGGTTCGTTTAAAAAAAAATGAACAAATTACCCAGCTCAAAAAATATTTCTGTTTGTGTACCGTAAGGCAGAAATCTGGGTCACCTACTATTTATTTTATACATTGATTACATTTGTGATATTTAAAGAAATTTTTAACCTTATTTAGTAGGCCAGAACTTGTACAATTTTTGCAAAAACATTTTATCAAGCTGTTTGCAAGAAGTAAATTTTGGAAAGCTAGAATTGGTGCTTTTATGAACGTTTAGACAAAATGATCAAATATGAAATTAAAAATTCAGAAATGAAAAAGATAGTTGATAAAATGAGAATGAGATGTTACCTAGTATGATCATTAAGTTTTAAGCTATTTTATATTTTGTCCATACAGCAGCTATTTGAAGAATTCATCGAGTTTTTTATTGTCCCAAAAGGATGATTCTTAGTGTTATTGATTTTCTAATTGTGTACATTTTCTTCAAATAAATGCTTTACTGCGAATGCCTCACTATAGTTCTTTTAGGCTTTGTGTTGGGATATGATGTTTGTTATAGTGATGTAGAACAGTATTCTATTATCTATATATTGTTATTTATTTATAAATCTGTGATTATAAAATATTGTTTTCATTACTTTGTTTCATTTCTGTCTCTTCGGACTCCTTCTTGTCTCAAGACTTTCAAAAAAATATAGATTTCTCAAAATAAGGGTACCCAAATTTCAAACAGTAGAGACTGATGGTGTGAGGTCTGCAGAGAGGAAGATACTGATAGGAGCCCTACAAGGTTCTGTCCAAGGCCCCATACTCTTCCCCATCTATATTAATTATCTCCCAAATGATAATGTTTGTAGATGACACATCAGTATCTCTTGCAGCTAGCTCTCCGATGAAAATACAACAGCAAACAGATGCTGAATTGGAAAAAGCCAAAATCTGGTTTTATTCCAACAAGTTTTAAAATAAACAAATCTTGAAATGCTCTTCAAGATCTTGTAGAGGAAGCTTTTACCTTCAAATTAGCTGCATGATAACCTCAAAAATAATGATTTTTAACTGAGTTTTTAAGCATTAAGTATGCCCATTTTCAGCGTTTTTCAGACACCAAATCGCTTATAATTTGGAAAAGGCAACAACTTTGTAAAAGGGTTACTAAGAACCCTTTTCATCCAGAATGAGCCTAAAAATCTTAAAAATTTGTGCGGGCCGAAACACTTTTTCTATGATTCGTTTAAAAAAAATGAACCCAGCTCAAAAAAACATAAAATATTGTTTTCATTTTTTAGTTTCATTTCTGTCTCTTCTGACTCCTTCATGTCTCAACTCTTTCAAAAAAATATAGCCTTCGCAAGATAAGGGTACCCAAATATCAAACAGTAGAGACTGATGGTGTGAGGTCTGCAGAGAGGAAGATATTGATAGGAGCCCCACAAGGTTCTGCCCAAGGCCCCATACTCTTCCCCATCTATATTAATTATCTCCCAAATGATGATGTTTGTAGATGGAAGTACAACAGCAAACAGACGCTGAATTGGAAAAAGCCAAAATCTGGTTTTATTCCAAGTTGTTGCTAAATGGTGAAAAGACTAAGCAAGTTCTGTTCTCTAGGAGAGATATAAACATCCAACATGAAGTTCAACTCAAGTTTTTAGATGTGACACTTGACTCTAAGGCCCGTATCGTCAGTCGTCCCTACAATTGTAGGGAGCCTTTATGGCCTCCTTGATTGTCATAGTTTTCTACTTCTCCCTGTCAGCGCTCTATTTTGAGGTTATCTCACAAACATCTATTTGCATCAAATTGTGCTTGCTTTTGAGTTATATCATGTTTTATCAGCCTGAAATTTCCTACAATTTAAAAAGAAAACATATCTTCACAATAGGAGAGCGCTGACGCTGACACGGGACAAGTGTAATCTACACATTTTCGAAGGAGGGAAAGGAGTATGACAATCAAGGAGGCCATAAAGGCGCCCTACAATTGTAGGGACGACTGACGATACGGACCTAAGCTCCATTGGAAAAGCCACATTGATGTTCTGTCCGTAAAACTTTCTCAGAATGTTGTCCTCCGAGAAATGTCGTCAAACATACTATTATTTCTTACTTCGCACTATTCCTGTCGCACATAGTAAATGAAACCACAACGTCAAAAATAAGTCTTTTGACATTTATTTAATAAAAAAACAAATAAATTTAACAATATATACAGAGAAACTTTTGTACAGCACCATCAGTGTGAAATGAGGAATGCTAAATGAATTCGAATCCCTCGTATTTGGCATCTGCGATGAAGATATCGTCCAATAGGATCTCGCCATCCACGGTGAAGGCTGTGACGTAAGTAGAAGTGGCGCCCTCTAGCTCTTCAGTTCTCAAGGCTACGATCACTTGGTCATCAGAAGTGGGGATGAATTTGAAGCTGGAGAAGCCCCGCGTTGGTCGAGAATTAGTTATCTGAGAACAATTTGACAAATTAAACTAACATTGTAATCATTTCGTATCGGGCTTATACGCAAACCGTTTCTTATGCCTGATGTCAATCACGCTTGCTTTCCCAAATGATTGATATTTTGCTACGTAAATTGATGGCATATTGAATATTAGGAAGTACTTTAGACTGGTTTAAACATTATTTGTCTAAAATGATGCAGGTTACAAAAGTTAATAACACTATTTAATAAAAAACTGAAAATACGTTAGGTGTTCCACAAAGCAGTATCCTGGGCCCACTTCTTTTGATTTTATACATAAACGATTTACCTGCCAAAATAAAAAAAAATGCAAAATTCAAATTTTCGGCGATGACACTTTGGCTTATATGAGTACTCAAAATGTTCAGACTGGTATCTCTCATTTAAATGAAGACTTGAAACTTGTTTCAAAATATACTAAGTGACATATAAATCCGAACACCCAGTTTAAATGGTTTTATTTTAATAAAAGCTGGTGAATGTATTTATCTTACTGTAAATAACAAGTGAACAAATTTTCAGCCTTATCAGTTGGACATTCCGGTTTTTATACTGCTTTTTTTAATTCACTAACGCTCTAAAAATGAATATTTCAGACGCAGTAAAGAATCAACGTTGGCGGATTTTGGTTCTTGACATCCTTTACGATCGGTTACAATGCCTAGAGTACGGAGACCTGTACGATTTCGTCAACTTAGTGAGTTTGATAGGGGCCGTATAGTGGGACTTCGGGAAGCTGGACTTTCTTTTCGGGCAATTGCAGTTAGAGTGCAAAGAAGTGTAGACACTGTGGTTAGTTGTTGTCAGGCATGGCTTCGAGAAGGCCGTACGCAAAGAGCAAGGGGGACTGGACGCCGCCGTAGAACAACAGACCGTGAAGATCGCCGCCTAAGATTATTGGCCTTAAGGGACCGTTTCTCCACTACCAGGTCCATTGCAAATGAATGGTTTGCAGAAAACGGAAGACCTATTGGCATGCGAAGTGTTTACCGACGAATGAGAAGTTTTGGCTTGTTTTCATACCGGCCACACTGGGTCCTCCCTTTAACTCGAGAACACCGACGTAATCGCCTTGAGTGGTGCAGACAACGGTCACTCTGGGATCAGGAATGGAACAGTATTGTCTTTAGTGACGAGTCTCGATTTTGTTTAGGCATGCACGATGGTCGTGCCAGGGTTAGAAGGCGACGTGGTGAAAGGAGGTATCCACAGTTTTTTGTTGAAAGACATGTTCATCACACTGTTGGAGTTATGGTTTGGGGTGCTATAGCTTATGGTTCCAGGTCACCTTTAACCTTCATCAAAGGTAACATGAACGCGCAGCGTTATATCCACGAAGTTCTACAACCCCATCTTTTACCCTATCTTGACACCCTGGCAGATCCAACTTTCCAACAAGATAATGCCCGACCACATGTTGCAAGAGTCACAATAGACTTCTTTCAACATAATGATGTCACATTGTTACCATGGCCACCAAGATCTCTCGACTTATCCCCAATTGAGCACGTGTGGGATATGATGAGTAGGAGATTGCTCAATTTGCAACGTCCTCCTCAGACTCTAGAAGCACTTCGAGAGGAGTTGGTGGTTGCCTGGAATGAGATACCACAGGAGGACATTGACCACCTGATCAGAAGCATGCCTAGGCGCGTTGGAGAATGCGTAGCACATCAGGGTGCATCCACACATTATTAAAAGTCAAAGGGCTTTAAAGCAGTGCAATCATTTTGAAATTTTTATCATTTACTTATTATGCTTCATTAAAAACTTAAACAAAATTTTATTAAAATAAAACCATTTAAACTGGGTGTTCGGATTTATATGTCACTTAGTATAGTCAGCATCTAACAAACTCGAATTAAATACAAGTAAAACGAAAGCTATGTTAATTGAAAAAACAATGTACAAATGTTCAAATAAATATTGATGGTGAAGATATTGAATTCGTAGAAAATTTAAAAACCTTGGGCTTTTTGTTGACCTTCAATTAAATTTTGATATCCATTAAGAGAAAAGTATAAACAAGATTAGTAGTAAAGTGGGATATTTATCAAAAGTTTTTGGATGTATGAGTTAACATAGTAGAAAAATTATGTATAATACTATCATTCTTTCAAATTTCTTGTACTGTTCGACTATTCTATATTTAGCTAATAATTTTTGACAAACTGCAAACTTTACAAAACAAGTGCATGAAGACAAAACTACTAAATTAACATCATCAAATGCTTTAAATAATATCAGGGATAAAGATGACTTCCATTCAATGCCCATAAAGTATAATATATGTTACAAATCTGTATTCCATCAAGGGTTTCTCAGCATGGTACGGCTTGAATTTACTAATTCTAAATTGTTTATAATTATTTGCTTATGAAGCCAAATGTAACAAAGAAATCTGTCTACTACTACTACGACTACTATTACACTGTTTGCATAGAAAATGAAGAATAGACAATCCAAAGCAGTATCATCTTACCTCTAGATATTTGACATCATGCATATCCCTGTCAGCTGAGATCAATACTGAACATCCTTTTCTCTCATCTAGAATCTCATTGTAAGGTTCTTTGCTACAACGTCGCGGCAAAAAGAACCATCTCTGGTGAATGTTAGACCATACACCACTTTCATGTAGCATGTATCCTGGCCAGTGGATACCTAGGATTTCTCTGATTCTTTTGTATTCTTCCACCCAATTGACATGAATCACCTTAAAAAGCATAAGTCATGACTTTGGAATAAGCATACTAATGTCAACTTGGTGGTAGATCATTTATTTCACAGACAATATTTCTGTATTGGGAGTTTTCATGGTGTCTGAATGATCTGGCCAGATTTAATTTATTGCTCATGAGATTTTCAAGGACCAAAATAGTTCATTTATATATATAGGTATATTCTTTAATTCACCGGTTGAGCTACCGGTGCAACCAGTTAGCCAAGTTTGCGCCCTTTAATTTCCGCTGTAACGACCGGTTGTATATCAAACTTGTCTCTATATTGATGGTGGATATTCCACCGGTGCCAACAGCATCCACCGACGTTCGGGCTCGGTTGATCCACGATATTCTAACCTCTAAATTTTATCAGTTTTTGACAATACAATTTTGTGTGAAAAAATGGAAGAAGATTGAATTATGCATATCGACGATCTCAAATCAATAATCAAATCCAAGCGAATAACCAAAACTTCTGTGTTATGTGCCGCGGTTATAATGTGGTTCAAGATGACACACGGGTTGATGACGTCAGTTACACGAATCGCTTGAACGCGTTGGTTTTAACCGCGGTTTTGTTGCAAGTTGTTTATTTTAGAAAAGCGCGTATATAATCTCTGATTATTTTTATTATCACTTAATAATCGGTGCTTTTTCGTCTACAACTGTATATGGAAAGTTTGAATAAGAAACCTTTCATAATATTCATGGGAGAAATGTTTTTTTCAGATTTTTTTTTAATGATTTAACCATGGCTTTGTAGCTATGATAACTTTCAATTCTCTAAATTTTTCCGCATGTCAAAGAAAACATTTATTGATTCAGCAGAAATGATGAAAAAAGAAATTAGCAAAACCGTATACAGGTGGATATCATCTAGTGAGTTTATATGGCCATATTTTAATATTCTTGTGGTATATGGGCTACACAGTATACTTTGTTAAGCATAGGAACTGCATTTAAAGTGTCCCCAACAACCGTAATGAGTATAACTAATAAGGTGCTCCACTTTATGGTAAAACTGAAGTCAGCCTGTATCATTTTTCTCAAAAATGAAGCTGAAGTACAATAACAATATCCAATACCCGGCAAAATTCTAACTTGTCACATTTCAAATAATAACCAGAAATATAAAACTACTCTTGAGTTGGGTAAATACCACAATTTTGCGGTGTGACTATGACATATATATTATATATATTCTTAAGTAGCTACTTATGTTTGGAACATTGGTGGGAACTGTGCCTTAAATATTCTTTTGATGTTCTGAATAATTAGATGTGAATGTTGAAAAAAATTGAGGATAATACTTACAGTTCCCTTGGTGTCAATCATTTTGACATACTGAGGGTTATTATTAACAAATTCTCCACTGGGAGTAGTCCACTCTTTACCCATGGAACCTACATATAATACTTCATCTTTAACTGTTGCCCATTCTGACTTGAATCCTTTCTGATTCCTGGAATATAGCAAAAAAAAATTAAGCCATTTTTCTTAGTTGACACTGAAGACCCAAGTACTGCTTATTCATCTATAAAACTGTTTCATATTTCTTAACATACTTACTGTCCATCACCATCCATAAGCACAACCCACGGAATAACATCGTTCCTCACAATTTCAAAAACAATCCCTGTTCGATCATCAAATGTGAGCAATTTGCCATTGAATGTCACTAATTCTGACAATTCACACCCTCGTCCTTTTAAGGCATAACTTGTCTTCAATACTTCAGGCTCTTTTGGATCCCAGGCTACAGTTACAGTTTTCTTTTGAGGATTATAACTGAGGTATCCAGTTTTTAGATAAGAAACCCATGTGTTTTTTTCTTTATCACTTTTGGAATTTGTGTCTAAATCTGCTATTATTCCTACAAATATTTTACGAGTGAATCAACATATCCAATAGGAAGCCCAGAATTAAGGGTTAAGTAATCTTTAGTTTTATTTTGAAGTTAGATATATGAAATGTAATTTATCATATTAAGGGTTGATTTTTCATCGAAAGCTTGATGTCATGTTTAACAATGTACAAAAAAAAAAAAAGAAAATGGCACAAATAAGCCGCATTACTTCTGCAATTGTAAGTGAAAGTCTCTTGTTTGGCATTTTCTTGGAGAATATGTTATCCAATGCTTGTACTTTAAAAATAGGTTTTATTACATCTAGTAATCTTATACAGGAAGTCCTACCTATTTTGAACCTATGCATATTACTAGTCTTGATAGGCCTAGTCAGTGGATAGGTATAATTGTAGTCACTACTCCGTAAGACCCTGCTAGAAGATCGTGTGGTTGAATTTGCGTAAAAATAAATTAGAAAAAATAATCCTGTTAATCCGACGGTCCACGTGAACAGCGTTTGCCCACGTATAGTCCTATTTACCACACGATATGCTGGCTGAGCCCTTAGAGCTTTCCTCCAATCTTTTGTTGCGACCATTTCGTCTTCGTCTATAAGATTCATATGTATTGAGGTGGTATTCATCTATTCCGATGTGGTGGATTGTATATCACAGAAAATTTAACGATTGGAACCAAATGGTTAAGATCCGCATCATTTTGACAATATGGTTTTATCCAAATGCTCCCCGTTTCATATTTACTTTTGAGCTAACCTCAAATTTTGCCAAGTGTCAATTTGATGTGTTACGTGACGTGTACTGTCCGGAGCCATCGCTGAAGTCTAAAGCCAGCCACAACCTTTTCACAGACTTGCGCGTCGTGCATATCACGACTGCAACTCTGTAAGTCTGAGCTCAATTGTAACTTGAAACTTCCGATTGTTTCCGTGGCGGATGGTGCAAAGTGGATATAGTCAACGCCAAACAAAGTGGCGTGCACGTCATCACGATAAAAATTCCCCGACCTAATGCCTAGGTTTCTATCACAAACAATTGCTCTATTGCAGTTTCATATTAATGTGATATATAAATTGTAAAATGGTCATTACTCTCTTATTATGGTTAATAGTCATATAAACATTGTTATTAAAATATCACATAAGTTGCTTTCTGATAAATTTAGACGCATTATGCGAAATAAAATGTTTTGCAAACGCTCCAATCACTTATCGACATGTAAACGCACTAAACCGATTTCGCAGCATTGACACATTGTCACCTTGAAACTTATTTAAACTGGGAACTGACATTTGTATTAATTTTGACACTGAATCAATTTGTGGCATTTCAAATCTTTATAAATCCTTTGGCCCCGCATACTGTAAATCAACAACTGTTTGTTTCAAAACAAAATTATTCATTTTACGAGTAGATAAAGGCAATTTTGGTATATAAAGATGCCCAAACAGTTAAATAGTCGGTGTAAGGAACTCGTGGCCTCGTTAATGCACTACTTTGAGCAAGAAAGGGACAACAACGGGCCTTTGTTGCCTTTAAATGCTGTTCAAGAGGTAGGTTACTAATAATTATATGTAATGTATATTAATAATAGTGAAATTTTATTTCATTTTTTGTAGCGTGTTGCTGCTGCTTTAAAAATTAGTTTAAGGACAGTTAGTCGTATTTCCGAGGGTGTGAAAAGTGATGCAAATTTAGAATCGCCCAAGAAAAGAAAGAAAAGAAATTTTTAAATGGTATGAAAGAGAACGAATTTTTGATCGACCAGACATCGAACCTTTAATAATCAACTTTGAGAGTGATGAAGATTCAGATTCAGACAGCGCTGAAGAAAAAAACTCCGACTAACTTTATTGTACAGAAAAAGCTTACACCAGTAGCTTACCTAATTTTAGAATGCATTTTTCTGTATGAATTCTGTAAAATAAATACCATGCATAAAATTTGGAGGACCCCATTTGGATTTTTATTCAGTACCTTTAAGCTATCAATTAAATATGGTAGTTTCATAGTGCCAACTGATCAATAATTGTCATACTTAATGATTATGCAAGTACAGATCTATAATTTTATTATACTATTATTTTTGTTCTCATTTGAGGTTAATATTGCTTATAAACCTAGATATGTAAATAATAAATTTTATTATTTTACAAAAAGTTTGGCAACAATGTAAATTTTTCAACACACCCACCTTGATGACGTGCTCGCCACTTTGTTTGGCGTTGACTATAGTTTCCTGCCCATCATATGTCACACGTTCGATGGGATTTAAATCCGGTGAATGGGGTGGCTATGGCAAAACGTTAACGCCTGCTTCTTGAAGAAAGTCTGTAGTATGACGAGCAATATGGGGCCGTGCGTTGTCTTGGAGAAAAAGACGTGTGAACGGCCCTCTAGATACGCCAGTAAGGTGGTTTGGAGGACATCATCAACATAACGCGCAGCAGTCACATTGCCTTGAACAAAGAGAGGGGGTGATCGGCCATTATATGCAATAGCCCCTCAAACTATTACTCCTACAGTCCTGTGTACATGTTTCTCAACAGCAAATCGAATATCACGCCGTTCTCCATGGCGGCGTCTTACCTTTCTACGGTCATCGTGCGTAACTGGACATGTTGAATGTCTTCGACCTCGAGGCATTTTGTTATGCTTAACACTAATAAATGAAAGGGCAATAACTAAAAATATATATACTATTCAGCTCTCAGAAACTGCGTTCTTCACAAAAACTAAGAGATAACATTTTAGCAAACGTAAACAAAAAAAAGGATAAAAGTTGACATTATTGTCACAGCAAGCTTTAAATATACAGGGTGTCCGCAAAGTTGGGGTTTTCCTTTACACGACGAGTAGATCTTGAAAACATAAGCAACTTTTCTCAGTACCATATACACCAATGTCTTAAGGGAAATATCTGAATACCGTCCTGTAGCTGCGACTCGCGATATCCCCAACTGGTATCTTCTACTAGCTCAACCCGACGACAGAACTGGGTCGGGGGTCGGGGTCAGTGTGTCAGGTCAGTATGCAACCTTCAATCGACGGTTACGGTCACGCGTGTAGAGGTAAACGAACTCGTATAATCGATTGCGTTTCAAAAAACAACAAGCACTAGAGACGTGGCTAGAGAAGTACAAGTATCAAAAACTAAAGTGTGACAAACGCTGCGTGAAGAGGTGCTGTATCCGTTTCACGTCCAACGTGTACAAGCCCTTCAATCTGACGATGTTCCAGCAAGAGTGCGGTTTTGTGAGTGGTTGTTGCATCAACATGACAATAATCCGGACTTTTTGAAGTGCATATTGGTGACAGACGAATCTACGTTCACGCGTAATGGGGTGAATAACTTTCGCAACACTCATGTTTGGTCAGTAGAAAATCCGCACGCTGTCCGTCGGGCACATTTTCAACAAACATTTTCGGTGAATGTTTGGACTGGCATGGTGAACGGTAGGTTCATTGGACCATTTATTCTCCCAAATCGATTGGACGGGATGCAATACCTAGACTGTTTACGTCTGCTCTGTAGCGCATCAGCTGATTTCATTTACTGTTGGAGCGGTATGATTTCGGGCAGAGACGTACTTAGCCCTTCTCGTCAACTGGAGAGTGAGTACTTTTTCCTTTATTTTTTTTTTACTTGGTCGCCCTCGTTTCACTACACATTACCTTTGTTATTTCAAGGGTAGTTGTTTATGAAAAGGAAAACCCCTACTTTGCGGACACCCTGTATAGTCATTATGTTGCCAAAAAATAAATTGAAGACATTCTTTTTCTGGGTGTAACAGTTCTGTCACTGAGTATACAACTAATGAGGTAACGCTAATGGACCATATCGATAGTTTTTGCAAAAATTATTTGAGTATTTTGAGAAAGGTAATGAAAGTAAAGCTGCCATTTAATCAATATCGCGTTGCAAAACTCGTCGATACATCAATGTAATGTCTAGTGTGCGATTTTTTACAGCACTACAATTTAATGTCCACGTGTACCAGCGGTCAAAATTACGTCTCGTGTCAACCCTTTGTTTCTTGAACGATTTGAGTGAAAATGGCGGCATTCCTTTAGTCGAATGCTTAGATTTATAGAATCACAGCGACGATTATCTCGCCATGACGACGGGTAAGACTGTCAAGAAACAACGACGTGCAGTCTGTAACTGGCTTAAAGCCGCTTATAAATTGCGTTGTTGCCGTCAAGTAGATTGACTTGGTTTTCTATCTTGGGAAGATTAATGGTTTTGCTTATTGAGTGATAAAAAGATTTGGAACGACAAAATCTTCGTTTCTCTTTTTCGTTAATCAAAGGAAATAGACGATTATAAAATGCTAATTTTGGAGCGCAGCGTTGCGTCAAAAATGAAACTTTGCGCTATTGTGGCACAACATTTAAGTTCTTTGACACCTTTTTGTCAAGTTGAATTTGTGTTCTCATACTATCGCGTATTTTTTGTACTTTTTGTAGTTCTAATAACTGAAGATCATCTCGAGTAGCATTTTACACTACAGAGAAAACAGGTCCGAAGATGGCACAAAGTAGTATTATTGTCCGCTTGGGGCAAATGGTAGATTTGGCGCTTTCTAATACAGAAGTAAGTACATTCTACAAGAAAAAAATGTGTTTAGATTTTAGGACGATGTTAAATATACATTGTAAAAGATGAGAAAAAGACAGCGCAGTAGAAATACACATTGAAATCGATAGAGAACCAGTAAATTTTAGCGGCATTGAAGCATTCTTTTTTAATCAAAAAGAAAATAATGAGGATTCAGCTTTAAATGACAAATTATCGGTAAAACGTAAGCTATTTGCACGATGTCGATAAGTTCTCGGAACCCAAATGTGTGGTGCCATATTTTTAATATATATACAAAGTGCTTGAATCAGTTAGCTTCTAAAGCTTCATTTTGTATCTTGATAGTGATGTATCAAAAAATTACAGATGCCTTCGCACCAAAATTCTTAAAATTCGGTGGGATTTTAAAAATTCGTTATTTAGGTAACAAATTCGTGTCTTTTTGTAAATTGTAATTTCGTGGTGGGAATGAGCTCAGAAGTCTCGAATAGTATCTAATACTATCCAAAAATCCACAATAGTGTCTGTGGGCAAAATTTTAAATCTGGTATTTGTCGAACAACAAGTATCTTATACGTACACCTTGAAATAGAAATATGCACACAGGCGCATTTTGACGAATCCTGGAGGACGCATTAGGTTACATAAAGATTAATTCCAAGTTCTGTAACAACGGTACTAGAACGATGTAAGATAACGCTAAGATGATGCAATGTAATAATTATATTGTACAGAGTGAGCCAAGGCACATAGCTAGCACAACATAACATACCTAAGCAATATTTTGGCTTTTTTTTGGCTTATTTGCTAAGGACTCCAGCGTGAAGTATAGCGACTACAGTGTACTAATCTCCTCTTGATGTAATTGTGATTTTTGCAATGCATTTTCATTTTGCCAGCGTGGAGTGGTCAATTTCGGACTGATGCATGCTTTGCTGCATGCGATCATAGAAAAACTGAATTTGCAAGATGTAAGCATCGAGTTTATAGGAAAACAAGGCGAGGAAATTCAACGTTTCATCGCCGCCATGGGGGCAGCGCTTCAAGGTAACTATACTAAATTCATATCCTTGTCCGCTCGATTTCACTCCACCCACCCAATCTAAGTTTTGACTACGAAAAAATTAGGGTCAGTGCGAAATTATGAGCAGCCCAAAAAAAAGTTAGAAAGAACTTTGATATCAGTCGGGTACTGAATATTGAAATTTTAAATGTCAAGTAGTTTTGAACATGTTTTATTTTTTACAGGTGCTGAAGCAGGTGGAGGAGGTAAATGAGTATGTGCGGCCTTGAGGTTACCATACAATCTATCAATTCATAGACTATATCCTTCAGTGAGGCACGGGTATTACGTATCTTGAAAAGTGACACTATGCCGATTTTTTTTGACATTATGCTGTTTTTTTGACATTATGTAGGTTAGTCTACAAGATGTTAACATAGCACTTAGATGTACGTGTTGCCTAACGTCATGAGGCTTGTTATCAATCTTTGGCTTTGATGTGATGTAAAATCTGCTTCTGAGATGGCATTACTGGAGGTCTAAGCTATATAAGTTGTATGTGTTGATGATAATTACATTGGATTCTTGTCTCAAATACACTTAATTGAGGCTCAAAGCTAGAAATTAGTTGCGCATCCACTTTTTCTTATCCATTCTGGAAACTACATGTACAAATTTGCTGAATTTAAAAAATGAGAGAGATAAAAAATAATTATATTCACTGTACACTGTCGAATTAAAAGCCATATACATGCTAACAGTAATTTCACACAACGCGGGTGCGGTGATGATTTCTCGTAATTCTGCTCAGTTTTCAATAACTTATAACTTTGAAAATAACCTCTCTTCAGAAAGCACAACATATAAATAACCCGTCATATTTGGCATATTCAGTAATCATTTTCTCACACAGAAAATATCACTGATTTTATACATATGCAGACCAATACACATAATCATCCAGATGCGATCTTGCTATTCAACCAACTTTCTTCTCAGAAACTACAGACCCGGATCACTCAGCCTCACAAAGCTATGCAACCAATAATGCGTAGTTTAGTTGAGTGATTCCTCCACAGATGGACATTTAAAACGATCTTAGTGAGCAAACGTGGAATAACTGTTTGCGCCCTAAAAACTACCTAGTCTGCAAGTTGAAATCTTATAGGTTTTTTTGACGTTTTATAGGTTTTTTACATGGTACCCGTGCCGAAGTATCCCAATACCTAAACTTGAAATATACGAATTATTTAGTGCCTTTTTAAATTTTGGTTTGATTAACCTAGAAATGGGGAAATGTGCTAAGAACGTGATCAGCATTTTGACTGTCGGTCAGGTTTCCCGCCCCCTGATACACGCTACTGGTAGTTAGGGAGCAGTGTTGCCAAGCCGAAAAAGCCGATTCAAGGCCAAAATCCCTATGAGGGAAAAATCAAGCCCGACGCATAATCAGCGGTGGATAAAGAGCATTTGCGTCAAGCAGCGCCGTCAATGAAAGAACAGTATGCACACGACAAGATCACAGACTTTTCGACGACATCATTTACTGAAAAAATATCAACTACTTTATTTTTTTTGCCCTCCTTCATCCAAAACCAAGTCATCAACTGTTTGTTTTACTTTTACAGGTGGTGGAAGAAACCCATTGTCTAGTAATCCAAATATGCCAATTCTTGCACGGCAGAGTTCTGTATGTCTACATTTTACAATTTGAAGCAAGTATTGGCTCTCACGCACATGTTCTGAATACCATTTAATGTCTGGAAAATCAGGAAGATCTTGTTCACCTGCCCCACATATTTTGCATTAACATTATAGCCATCAATTTCCATTGAACTCCATACTTCAGCTAATAAATTTCCTGCAAATTCGAAATTAGATCTTTCTAAATGTTCATCAATTGTAACGCCACGTTCATCCAAATGAGACCCAAAATGGTGATGGGGCAATATTAAACCAGCCAGTTCCCAACTAAGAGGAACCATTCTGCGCTCTACTCTGTTATACGCACTTATTCCAGGAGCATTGGTAGCCAAAAACAATGTATCGAGATCATGTCGCTTAAAGTGTTGTATAGCAAACCCTATGACTTTTTGATAACGTGGATTTTCATCTGGTCCTCCATCAACCGTCATGATTACCACTGGTTTTACTAGTCCATGGTCAGTTTTAGCTAATGGGAGAAACTCTTCAAGTTCGAGAAGCGTCTCGAAATCCTGAGCATGAGTATTAGCAGTAGATAGCTTGCTTGCTTTCCACTTCGAATAGCGATGTATGTTGGTAGCATATTGGAAGTGATTTTGATACCAGCATAAACAGATGGTATTAATTTATGACGCTCAGCTATTACCCAATCGTGATCAGGCAATTTGATTCTATATTTCATGTGCATTAGAAGAGGTGCTTGCTTATTTGCCGCAGTTACGCCAATAGGGACTCGAGCTTTATCATCTTGCGATATGAAAAATACTTGATCTGGTCCAAGTAGGGATGCTATGTTCTCTAAATAATGGATTGATGTTTCAGCGAACTTGCTATCTAAGTGGCTCTTGTGGTGACCAGTTTGAGCCCGAATTAGCTTAACTGTCGATACATGTCTTCGTCCCTCTGCAGAATTCGATTTTCTGGGAATCAAACGAAGATATGTCCCACTGCGACTAATGTCAAATCCTATTTTACGTAATTCTTGTGTTGGTTCATCAAGAGTTTTTACGCTGCGAATTGATTCCGTTCGCCTTCTATCATCTGCTGCACTCCCAAATAAAGCTATATCCGCGATTGTTTTCAATATTGAATGTTGATTGCTTTCAAGATTAGGACGTCCCACTGAATCCCTCAGAGATAGTCTTTTTTTTATTTCTGCTATAACTGCGTTTTGAACCTTCCTGTTTAAAGACTGTTTTGCTGTTTTTATTTTAAAAAAGTAAATAATTACCGATGACGTAATCATCATCTAGACTCCCTTACCCCACATGTCATCCAAAATAAGCAAAGCAAAGACCCCCCGCCCTCCCTTAGTGCTCACGTAATACTTGAACGGCCTCATAGGTGCATAGTGACGATTTGTGAGATTCAAGCTAGAAATTAGTTGCGCATCCACACAAATTTGCTGAACTTCAAAAATGAGAGAGATAAGTAATAATTGTATTCACTGTATACTGTCGAATTACAAGCCATATACATGCTAACAGTAATTACACACAGTGCGGGCGTGGTGGTGATTTCCCGTAATTCTCCTCCAAGTTTTTGAAAACCGAAAAAAAAATCGTAATTTATAACTTTGAACATAACCTGGGTCGAGAATAAACGAACGCATATTCTCAACATGCATCTTGATCCAAGGAACTGGTGAAACATATTGGCAACGCGGCAGATTGCTGCGTCGGCGTTGCTAGGCAACGCGGTGATGAGCTTCGCTATCCATCTGGCTTCTATCTCTTTCCAGCATATGTGTCTATACACACTTCTTTCTCGTACACATTGAACTCAAACCATCAGACAAATCTGGTTCTCAGTGTATACAAAATGAGTGACTCACTGTAAACGCCGCCGCTCAGGGGCGGAACCAGGGGGGCATTATAAGGGGGGCGTAAGGAAAATAAAATGAAATAATGTTTAGCCGCGCCTAAATATTTAAGAGCGGAGGGTGGCGGTGGCTTCATTAATGCTAATTGAAGAGTGGGGGAGGGGGGTATAGAGGGGGGGGGGGTTATTTAGTGCCTTTGAGATTAAGTGCTTTTGTGAGAATTGAAGAGGGATTGATTCATTAGTTATTCTGAGAGCAAATACCCTTGACAAAGTAATTTCCTGAGTTTTCCTTTTCCCAGTTATCTTTACGTTGGGGAAATATCTCACGTGGATCCACCACTGCCAACCGCAGGTTTAATATACAGCTGCTAACAATTTATGAAGATAGCAACTGTAAATTATGGAAGAACCGTAGAATGACGATAGACGCTCAATTTCATCGGTCACAGACTAAAACGGCATACGTTTAATTTTCATTTTTATCGCTAGGTTCGAGTGTGGTGATGAAACCATCAAAAGGCTCGGTATCCAGTGGAGAATTTTCAGTAGCACTCACCAAAGACAGTTTCGATAAGCTGAAGAAAGATGTGGATAAACTGAAGAAAAAAGTGAGCCAGTTGGTGAACCTCTCCTCTAACTCTGACATCATAGAAGCTGTGAGGTTAGCACTATAATTCTGAGCACTTGAAGCTCCCCATTCACGATCTCTTGCCCAATGAACTTGCGAACTTAATTTTATATTAATCAGTCCGCCCAACGTGATCAACAAATTCGAATATATTAAGAGCTGTACGAGGTGTTAAAACGAATATGGAAAGTAGTGTTAAGAGCCTACTGGAAAATATATAAAAAATCTGTTTTCGTGGCAACTTTGATATGATACAAGTGCACCATTGTTAACAAGATTGTAAAAACTAAATAATGAAAAAGATGTCACAGCAAACAGATTTGAATAACAGAGACTTGTCAGATGTCAAAAGCCAGTGACATATTCCAGAGCAACTAGATATTTATTGCTAAATTGCATTCTACAATTAATTATTACATTAACTTTCTCGGACAATACAGTTTTTATTTTTTTACTCAAAAATGGCGCATCGAAAAAAAATAATTCGGGAGAGATTATTTATTTTAAATTGAACGAATTCAAAAATAATTTTTATTTGGCAAAAAACCATTGGCGTACCATTTTTTTCTTAAAAAATATTATATATTATAATAGCCGTACGCAGGCCACTGTTAAAGGTAAAAATTATTTCTGTATTGAAAAATATGCAACTTTATCAACTTTCAGTACGTATATCAGTGAAATATCTGAAGCGGTTCTGAAAATATTAATTATTCTCCATTTTTTTCCTAAAACTTCAACATCCCGAGTTGTTGTAAGGAAACATTTTTGGACCATAGTTTATATAACAAACTAACATTAATTTTTCACGTAGATTCACACCCTTAAATATTCGCATATCATTACATACAGCGTGTTACTCAACTTGGTGTCATAGCAAAAATGTATGTTTTTGATTAGAATATCCTATATTTTATTGCATATTTAAATAGAGTTTTGAAAAATAATAAGTTTGAATCATATAACATGATTTTGATTGCTTTCATAACATTTTTTCCCCAATGAAATGACTGAAAAAATGCCCAATTTTGAAGATATTTAGATAAATTTTAGTTCACAAAACAGACATCTGGCCTTGTGACCTTTACACCAATGAACTATATTCGAACAATTTATCAACGATTGATTGAGGTTATAGTTGTTGTGTCTATAAAAGATGTTCTATTGATAGAAGATGTTTAAATACAAGATAATTGAAATTAATACCAATAACTCAAAAAAAGTTTGGAAATAAGTTGTATAAGCAAAATAAAAAAAAATTCATTGAATAAACTATTTAACGATGTAGAAATATACAGGGTGTTCCATTTGAAATTTTTGAGAAAAGGTAAATATATTTTGCGTTTTGAGATACCCCGTATAAATACAAGGAAATTTCAGCACTTTTTCCAGATCAGCTCAACATCGTTGATAATAAAATTTTTATGAACCAAGTTGTACCTAAATATCTTCAAAAATTGCGGAGTCGCGAGCCTTCAACGCTGGGCATTTTTTCAGACATTTCACCAAATTTCTAAGCAAATGACAATCCAAACCATACGTTATACGATATCAAACCTTTTATTTTTATAAGATCTATTCGAATATGCAATAAAATATAGGGTGTCCTATTAAGAAAATATGGGTTTGCTATGTCACGAAGTTATGCAACACCCTGTATACAGGGTGTCTGAAAAAGGTGTGCAATATTCTACCAGCGGTTTCTAGTGCATAAAATAGGAAGAAAAGTTTATATAAATATAGGTCGACAAACGTCCCCTAAGGGCGCTACGGTCTTTTAAAGGGGCTCCCCTGAAGATGGTTTTTCCTTAATATTTCCGAAACGTGTTGAGATAAAGACATAACATTTGGTATTCTAGCCTAGTTTTCTATGCTGGATTTAAAAATATTAACAATTCTAGACAGTTTTGTTTGGAAGCGCATGTAACAGGGACGGACTCCGGTTATTTTAGCCCCATCATTTTTGTGTGATTCTATTTTTGAAATTCAATTTTAGAATTTGAAAATTTAGGGTTTTCTACAAAAAAAGGTACTCTTATTGAATATCCATAAATTGTGCCATTTTTGAATAAAATCATACTGAAAAATTTGTCACATGATAGGAAATGTACTGCGGATTTAAATGAATTGTTGAATAATTAGCCATGGCAACGAAAAAACTAATTTAATAATTGGTAAATATTATATAAATACATATTTCTATTGCAACATAGCTAACATTTAGGCAAAAACAAAAGAAATAATTTTTTTCTTCGAACGAAATTGAAATTTGTTTAAAAAAGAAGTCATACAGTTGGATATACTTAAAATTAGCTTTACAATAAGTGTTCAAATAAATTCCCATTTTGTTGGATATAGAGTCTCGCTCGACGAACTAATGATTGCGTAACAGTGGAAAACCTTTTTCTTCTTATTTGATTTGCAGCCTGATGGATTCTTTGAAGTAAATCTTCTTGAGTATTTAATGACCCCGAAAAATAGAAATCCAATGGATTTAGGACAGGAGAACGTAACGGCCACGCTATAGGACCTCCTCGGCCTAACCACCTGTCTGGAAAATTGACATTCAACCAATTTCGAACATTGCTTCCAAAATGTGCAGGGGCGCCATCATGTTGAAAAAACATATTTTCTTGAAACTGCTGGCGCACATCCAATGGTATTATATCCATGAGCTCATTCTGAAGAAAGCTCAGATATACCTCCGAATTAAGACGATTGGGAACTACAATAGGCCCAATTACTTAATCCCCAATTACTCCTGCCCATAAGTTCAATGAAAATCTATGTTGTAAATTTGTACGGCGAACAACTTTTGGATTTTTATCTGATCAGCGATGAATGTTATGGAAATTAAAAGCACCATTCCTAGTAAATATTGACTCATCCGACCATAATATTCTAGGTATAGTATTTTCATTTGCTAATATCCACTGGCAAAACTCGATTCGTGGTAAAAAATCTGCGTCCGTTAAATGCTGCACCCGTTTAAAATGATAAGGACGTAATCCTTGCATTCTTGTCATTCTTCCTATCTAAAATTATTATTTTTAGGATAGCTATCAATTAGGTATTCATAAATTTTTCTTACTATTGATCTAGGTATATACATAATTTCTGAAACATTTCGTATGCTTATTTGCGGATTATTTTCAAACATATTTAAAGCAATATCCATACGATGATTTCCCAGTGGCCTTCCTGAGCCCTGCATGCGCTGAAAACTTCCATGGTTTGACAAATTCCGGTGAATATCAGTCAACATTCGACGTCCAGGTACTAGGCGATTGGGAAATCTTCTTTGATATTCTCTTACGGCTGCCAATGAACTGCCATCGCAAAACCCGTACACAAAATGCATGTCAGTCAGTTCTCTGTCTGTAAATCTTGGCATTTTAAATCGATTTAATAAAAATTTTGATTTTAATGTAGTAATTTTACAGTGTTAACAATGTCAGCTTAACGTCAAAATAAGTCATAACAAATCAAAACAACTTTTGTTTGCAGTCATGGCTAACTATGTATAATCAACAATTCATTTAATTTCGCAGTACATTTCTTATCATGTGACAAATTTTTTATTTAGAATTTATGCAAAAATGGCACAATTTATCAATATTCAATAAGAGTACTTTTTATATAGAAAATCTCAAATTTTCAAATTCTAAAACTGAATTTCAAAAATAGAATCACACAAAAATTTTGGTGCTAAAATAACCTGAGTCCGTCAATGTTACATACGCTTCCAAACAAAACTGTCTAAAATTGTTAATATTTTTAAATCCAGCATAAAAAACTAGGCTAGCATACCAAATTTTATGTCTTTATCTTACCACGTTTCGGTAATATTAAAGAAAAACCATCTTCAGGGGAGACCCTTCAAAAGACTGTAGCGCCCTTAGGGGACGTTTGTCGACCTATGTTTATATAATCTTTTCTTCCTATTTTAAGCTCTAGAAATCGCTGGTAGAATATTGCACACTTTTTTCGGGACACCCTGTATAATAATAATAATAATAACAATATTTATTCGCCAAAATACAAAAAATGGGCAAATAAATATGAAAAAACCACAGAAGGCATCGCCTGTGTGTGGTTTATATCTTAATAACTAACAATCAATCATATATGTGTATAACAATTATTGTTAAATCTAAAAGGTATTAATGTAATTGGAATTTTGTAGTTTTAGTTTTCTATATAATTATGTATAGTCATTCGCTGCACATTACTAACCCAGTCTTTCAATTTTCTTCTAAATTTTTTTCCAAAATTAAGTATCTTTATTTCGTTTGGTACTACATTATATAATTTAGCTGCTAAGAATTTAGATGATTTTTTGAATAATGTTTTGTGTGGTCTTTGGATGAGCCTATTCGAAATCGTGTGTTATGCTCGTGTTTATAGGATTTTTTCTTTTTATTACAATACTTATGGTATAAGGTGGTGGCATGTAAGAAATAAAGTTGTCTTGTATCAAGTATCCCTGTTTCTTGATATAAGTTGTTTGTTGGATATAATCTTGGCTTATGGAAAATGTCTTTCAAAACAGTTTTTTGTGCTATATTCAAGTCTGAAATATATGTCTTGCAGGCGGCACCCCAGGCTGTGATGCCGTATATTATATGGGTTTCAACTAAGGCATGGCATAGGATTCGCAGATAACTTTCTGTAAGAATGTTAGCAAGCATTTTGAGTTTATAGGCAACATTTCTAATTTTTTTGATAACATATTTAATATGGTTATCCCACCTTAGATGTGAGTCTATAAATATTCCAAGATATTTCAAAGTGTTAACTCTATCGATTTTGGTCTTTTGGATAATTAACGGAAATTTGTTCGAAGGTAGGTAAAAATTTTGAATAGGATGTAAATGCAATAAATTTTGTTTTTTTGAACTTAACTGTTAAAATTTTAGTATCAAACCAGTCAATGCTCCTTATAAAATCCTGTTCAGCTATTTGCTTCAGTGTGCTCCAGTCATCAGCTTTATATAATACGAGGGTGTCATCTGCAAAACATATAATCTTTCCAGAACTGTTAATTTTGAATAAGTCATTTAAGTAGAGACTAAATAATAGTGGGCCTAGTACTGTTCCTTGAGGCACACCACACTTGATGTACATTTTTTACTGTAAGTATTAGTGATTTTGACAGTCTGTGCCCGACTTGAAAGGTAATTTTTTAAAAGGATTTGTGACGCTCCCCTAAATCCCAATCTTTCCATAACTTTCAGAAGCTCGACATGGTTAACCGTATCAAAGGCATTTTTTAGATCAACAAAGATACCAATAGTAGGTATCTTTTTGTTGACATTAGAGTTAATTTCATCCATTGCAGCCAAAATTGCATCTATAGTAGATTTTCCTTTTCTAAATCCATATTGGTCAGAACATGTAATTTTGTTTCTGTCCAAAAATTGTAATATCCTTTTTTGTAGTAATTTTTCGAAAATTTTGGCTATATTCGATAGTACTGATATGGGTCTATAATTTGATGTTTCCATTCTGTCACCGCTTTTATAAACAGGAGTAATAACAGTTGTTTTAAATGCATCAGGACAAATTCCAGATTGGAAACACCAATTAATGACGTAAGAAAGTGGTTCGGCTAAGTCGTAGGCTATTAGTTTTAAATGGTCAGCTTTGATACCATCTACACCAGGACTTTTTTTGGTTTTAAGTGATAGGACAGCTTCTTGTACTTCAATCGGACTAACGCTTTCTGAAGAGAATGAATTGGGAAGTTGGGTTTTTGTGAACTTTTCGTTCGAAACCATTTTTTTAATACTGGATGCTAAATTTTCTCCAACATTAGTGAAAAAATTTAAGAATGCATCGGATATTTGTAGTTTATCTGTTAATATTGTTCCATCACGATTCTTAATTTCATCAATATTTGGCTTTCCTTGAACGTCTTTGTTAGTTAAGTGATCGACAACTGACCACAGTTTTCTTGGATCAGATTTGGCATCTTGTAATTTTTTTAGATAGAATTGGCGTTTTGCTTCTCTAACATTGAAGTAATTTCAAAATGCGCACTAGTAACATGTCAAGGTCGTCAGGAAAACATATTTTTGATATCTTTTCTAGATCGCTCAAGAGACTACTTTCCATTCTCGTTGTACGAGTATGAACCTTATTTGGTACTAAAAATTGTTTACTGACAAAATTGTGATATAATTTAGGCAAAGTGAAGGAGAAATAAAGCCGGTTCAGGATATGTTCCAACTTGTAACAGTGCAAAAAAGACTCGATACAGCTGAAACAATAATGAAGAAGTTATGCAGCATGGTTGAAGATTTGATCAAAGGTGAAAATACCTAGAGTATTCCCGATGTTCCACTTCATAGCTTAAAGTTCAAGGGTCTCAGTTTCTGCTCTCACCAAAAGCAGCTACTAAGAAACGGTCAGCTATGGTTTGACGCTGTGTCAAGTACAAATATCTATTTGTTAGTTTCTTTTGGCTGTTGAGAGTTTATAACTTGAATCTGAAGCTCCTGGAAGGCTTTTGTTAATGAGTTCCTTGGTTGACATGTCTGCCTTCTTCTTCTTCAGCTTCTGGAGGCAGCACCGAGATGCTGTCTCAGCTGGCAGAAGTTCAAAAGGAAGCTCAAGATGCCGGCGGTGGAACGACTGAGAGCGCGATGATAAGCATCGAAAGACGATTGGCTGCCCTGGAAAGTGCTATGGCCAGTGGAGGTGTGGCTGTGCCGCAGCTTGGTAACTCCTTCCTTTGGTTTCACTGATGGTCACCCATAGTGACGAAATGCGGCAAGCACTGCTGCGGTGGGATATACCGGGTGTTTCAAATTCGATGCTCAACGTAGATATGCCGCTTAGAAAGTTTTGAAATCCAAAGTACAAACAACGATTTTTTCCAGAACCATTTTAACTTTTTATAGACCTTATTTGTAATGCGATTTTACAGGAAATTGTACATTAACATTGCCACTTCTTCTCACGTACAAGGTGACACAATCAGAATTCTGACGTTTGTGCAGATGAATAGTTTTTAGTTATGATTCCAAAAATGCATAACGTGTCATACATTGACAATGCCAAATCCTAGTTATATAAAAAAAAAACTGAATCTCCTAGGTAGGCCTTGAAATTATCAGATAGTCATTTGTTTCTTATTATACTAAGTGACATATAAATCCGAACACACCCAGTTTAAATGGTTTTATTTTAATAAAATTTTGTATAAGTACTTAATGAAGCATAATAAGTAAATGATAAAAATTTCAAAGATGATTGCACTGCTTTAAAGCCCTTTGACCTTTAATAATGTGTGGATGCACCCTGATATGCTACGCATTCTCCAACGCGCCTAGGCATGCTTCTGATCAGGTGGTCAATGTCCTCCTGTGGTATCTCATTCCAAGCAACCAGCAACTCCTCTCGAAGTGCTTCTAGAGTCTGAGGAGGACGTTGCAAATTGAGCAATCTCCTACCCATCTTATCCCACACGTGCTCAATTGGGGATAAGTCGGGAGATCTTGGTGGCCATGGTAACAATGTGACATCATTATGTTGAAAGAAGTCTATTGTGACTCTTGCAACATGTGGTCGGGCATTATCTTGTTGGAAAGTTGGATCTGCCAGGGTGTCAAGATAGGGTAAAAGATGGGGTTCTAGAACTTCGTGGATATAACGCTGCGCGTTCATGTTACCTCTGATGAAGATTAAAGGTGACCTGGAACCATAAGCTATAGCACCCCAAACCATAACTCCAACAGTGTGATGAACATGTCTTTAAACAAAAAACTGTGGATTCCTCCTTTCACCACGTCGCCTTCTAACCCTGGTACGACCATCGTGCATGCCTAAACAAAATCGAGACTCGTCACTAAAGACAATACTGTTCCATTCCTGATCCCAGAGTGACCGTTGTCTGCACCACTCAAGGCGATTACGTCGGTGTTCTCGAGTTAAAGGGAGGACCCAGTGTGGCCGGTATGAAAACAAGCCAAAACTTCTTATTCGTCGGTAAACACTTCGCATGCCAATAGGTCTTCCGTGTTCTGCAAATCATTCATTTGCAATGGACCTGGTAGTGGAGAAACGGTTCCTTAAGGCCAATAATCTTAGGCGGCGATCTTCACGGTCTGTTGTTCTACGGCGGCGTCCAGTGCCCCTTGCTCTTTGCGTACGGCCTTCTCGAAGCCATGCCTGACAACACCTAACCTCAGTGTCTACACTTCTTTGCACTCTAACTGCAGTTGCCCGAAAAGAAAGTCCAGCTTCCCGAAGTCCCACTATACGGCCCCTATCAAACTCACTAAGTTGACGAAATCGTAAAGGTCTCCGTACTCTAGGCATCGTAACCGATCGTAAAGGATGTCAAGAACCAAAATCCACCAACGTTGATTCATTACTGCGGCTGAAATATTCATTTTTAGAGCGTTAGTGAATTAAAAAAAAGCAGTATAAAAACCGGAATGTCCAACTGATAAGGCTGAAAATGTTTTCACTTGTTATTTACAGTAAGATAAATACATTCACCAACTTTTATTAAAATAAAACCATTTAAACTGGGTGTTCGGATTTATATGTCACTTAGTATAGATTCATCTCAAATGATTTTAATTTCTTCTCGATTTTAATTGAGAAGGTATTTCAGAATAAATTGCATGTTGTCATTGCCACTTTTTCTCCTCTACAAGATGGCGTAGTCAAATTTTCAATTCGAGGTTTGTTCTTACGACTTCCAGGAGTTATTGGAATTTTGTGCATTTAAATATTACTAATAATACATATTACTTTAATTAAATATGTGAAGTTCATCGTGGTATACATACAAATAATAACTTACGGCAGAATTAAAAATTGTATTCGATTGCGCACAATTTTACTATGGAGTCCATAAGAAGAAACAAAGTTGATGATGAAGATCAAAAACGGAAACGTCCAATTGAGAATTTTACTATGCCTCCTTGTAGAGGAGGATAAGAGCCGATGCTAATATGCAATTTATGTTAAAATCCCATTTCAAATAAAAGCAGAAAATAAATAACGATTTAGCAACGAAACCAATGACTACCTAATTATTTCAAGGTTAACTTGGAAAATCGTATTTTTCAAAAAATGACTAAAGTTTGGCAATGTATGTATGGTATATTATACAGGGTGTTTCAGTTTATTGTTGCATAACTTTAAGATTTGATAGAACTTTTAAAATTAATGGATAAAGTCTATATAAACATGGGTCGAAAAATGCGTGGCTTCCGAAATACAAGGTGTTTAAATTTACTTTCTAAAATAGTTTTTTTTTTAAATATTTCGAAGAATAATTGATGTATAACAGTGAAAATTGGTATACAAGGGTTTTTTGGTACGACAAAACGAACCATGGGCATAGTTTTACTGTAGCCGCTAGAGGGCGCTCTCTACTGTACCTGTAGTGTATTAAAATGACCGGAAATTTTTTCTCCTGTGAGTTTTCGTTATAGTTAGCCGTTTTTGAGATACTTCGATTTTTAAGGTTCGATGCATTTTTAATTATTTATGGGAAAATAATATTTTTTTTACATTTTCGATTTGGGCATTACAAGTAATTAAGATGATCGTTTAGATTGTGTTTTTAAACACAGCAATAATTTCTAACTCCAAATAAACACAAAAAAAAAACAGAATATTAATGTGTTTAATCTTCCAATATTATTTTTAACAAATTAAATTAATTATTTACAACTAAAATGCTATTGGATAGTTAGGACAAACATTCAAAATCTAAAGTAGTTGCTCGAAATGTAAACCTAATTGTTCAATACACAATTCACATCTACGAATGATCGAACGTGGTATAGCATTATTCAAATAAGGCCTTATTTCATCACATGCATTCCTGATTCTGTCTATTAGCATATCTCTTGTGGTTACGGGAGTCTGGTACACTTTTTCTTTTAGAAATCCCCACACAAAGAAATCTAATGGATTTAGGTCAGGGAATCGTGGAGGCCAGGCGACTGGTCCTCCACGGCCGATCCATCTTTCTGGATAATTTTCGTCCAGCCAGTTTCTAACTATTCTCGAATAATGAGCTGGACAACCATCAAGCTGGAACCAGGCCAATCTTTTTAAATCTAACATAACATCATCCCACATATTTGCATGTTCAGCCTTTAAAAATTCCAAGAAGGTCGCAGCATTTAACATTGCAGGCAAAAGGTAGGGTCCAAATAGTCGATTACGGTAGATACCAATCCACACGTTCACACTAAATTCATGCTGAAAATTTCTTTCCCGAACTGCATACGGATTTTCATGCGACCAAATATGTTGATTATGAAAATTTACCACTCCATGTCTAGTGAAGCATGACTCATCGGTCCATAAAACGTTGCTTAAAAACTCCCTATTATTATCAGTTCTATCAAGAATCCACTGACAAAATGTGATTCTTCGTTCTCCGTCCCCTGGCTGTAGTCCTTGCACAGGTTGCAAATGGTAAGGACGTCTATGGTCATTTCTAAGAACACGGTGAACATGGCTTGCTGAAATTCCTAAGGCACCAGAAACTCTCCTAACACTTGTGGTCGGATCTCTATCAAACTCACGCAGAATCATACGGGTAAATCTGCGCTGACGAACATTTATGTTTTGATCCCTTTGGAGATTTCCAAAACCATTTTCAATTATTTGGCGATGGACTCTTACAAATACTGAGCGAGTTGGATGTCGTCTGTTTGGAAATCCTCGTGCGTATTCTCTGGCTGCTTCTGCTGCGTTTCCATTTACAAAGCCATACGCAAAATGAATATCCGCTAACTCTTGATTGGAGAATAAAAATGACATTTTTATAAAACTAACAAAAAAACAGGTAAAAGAAACTAAATTTCGTGCATTCGCAATTGCAAAAAAACGTTTCAGGTTTCAGCAGACAACAAAACAAACTGTCAACTAATTGACGTTTAACCTTATTCTGCTTTCAATTTCAAAAATATTTGCAGACACAGCTTACTTCTAAAAATTATCGAGATACTGACTTTTTAACGTTATTTTATCATAAATAATTAAAAATGCATCGAACCTTCAAAATCGAAATATCTCAAAAACGGCTAACTATAACGAAAATTCACAAGAGAGCTTTTTTATGTTGAAAAGTGCGAAGAATCAGATTTTTCATTCAAAAAGCAAAAAATTGCAATAAGAAAAAATTTTCGGTCATTTTAATACACTACAGGTACAGTAGAGAGCGCCCTCTACCGGCTACAGTAAAACTATGCCCATGGTTCGTTTTGTCGTACCAAAAAAACCCTTGTATACCAATTTTCACTGTTATACATCAAATATTGTTCGAAATATTCAAAAAAAAAACTATTTTAGAAAGTAAATTTAAACACCCTGTATTTCAGAAGCCACGCATTTTTCGACCCATGTTTATATAGACTTTATGCATTAATTTTAAAAGTTCTATCGAATCTTAAAGTTATGCAACAATAAACCGAAACACCCTGGATATTTTTGGAATCAGAATTAAAAACTATATTCATATGACTTCCACTAGAAAAATAAACTTGATGCTGGAGAATATATTGGATTTCTTATCATACCATCTTGTAGAGGAAAAAAGTAGCAGTAATGTGCAATTTGCTATGAAGCAACTTCTTATCTTTTACAGTTTCTGAGATCCCTATGGTGAGGGTCGAATTTGAAACACCCGGTATAGTGGATGATCGAGACGTTCGGAACAAGCTTTATTATTTTAGAATAAGTAGTTTTAATTTGACTAATGAGTGTAATTATATCTTTTAGAGGGAGGCGCAGTTCCAGAAATCGGTTCCGACGTAGATCTATCAACGTAAGTACTTTGTATGTTATATTATAGTTTGTTTTATAGCAAATGCAGTAAACTTACAAGGCTAAAAACTGGATGTAGCATCGGTGGTTACTACAGTAAGCCACTAGATGTTAACACAAGCTGTACTCAGGGTAAGAGATTTAACAATGAGCAAAACCAAATGCCAAACTCTTGAACACAAATCTAACTCCAGTCACATTTATACCAATTGAAATTACATTTAAGGTCATAAAACGATAGAAAGTTTTACTGTCACAAATAATTTGGCAAGCCACTGTAGGTTAGTCAATAAAAGTTAAATTATGATGAAAGTGCATTCTTTCTAGGTACGCACATTCACATTCACCATACTTTTAAATACAAGGTTTCTTGTGTGATCTACTATTCAAGTCTCTATTCTAAATACGGCCCTTTCTTAATCCCATTCTGCCACGATGACGTCGAGTCTTGTCGTTCATCCACAGCGCACATTCTGAGATGAAATATCTCTCCTTTCCTCCATGAACTGGACCTTTTTTCCAATTTGTGATGGTGGCATTCAGTATTGAGTGTAATTGATACCGTACAAGTTCAAATTCAAAAGAAAGAAATAGACTTGATGATGGCTCAAAGGTGCATTTCAGCAGCAAAAAAAATTGAAAGATTTGAGGAGCGAAAGCACATACGATAATTTTGTTCTGAAGGCTAAGAATAAATGGGAAGAGATGTAATGGGAAAGTCGTGGTTTTCCCATTGTCAGAATGAGGAAAATCATTAAAATGTTCGATGAAAAAGCTGTGCTGACTCGCCACTGGAAACACACGAAAAACGAAGTCTTGGATTCAATGAGTAACGAATTGGAAAAATATACTGAGGGATTTCGTGAAGTGAATGATGTGTTTGGTTTTTTGATTCCAAAGAAATTACTCAATCTAAAAGAAAACGAATTAGAAACCAGCGTCACTAATTTGATAGAAAAATATTAGGAATTTTTCACTACAGATCTAAAATATGAATTAGCCAGTTTTACGAACATGTATTTTTCTGAAAATCGTAATTTTACTGATGATAGCCCGCTAGATTATTTGAAGTTCATGATTGCAAACAATTTTATAGACAGTTTTCCAGAGAGCTGCAGTTTATTCAGATTGTTTTTGACTTTGCCTATCGGTTCAGCTAGTGCTGAACATATCATGAGCTCTTTGAAAATTATTGAAGAATACCGTCGAGCTTCTTTGGCTAAAGACACACTCAACAATTTATCTATCCTCTATATCGAACGATCAGTAGCTAATACACTCAATTTGGATTCTGCGATGGAAGTTTTCGCTGAACCAAAAGCAAGACTCGGATTCAAATTAGAATAATTCTGTTATTTTGTATTGAATAAAAAATGTTTGATCTCACAGTCTCTACTTGGTTCAGGTTATATAGACATATAGTAAAAAACAGAGGTAACAGTGCGCAGCAGCTACTATTGTGCATATAATTGTAGGCCCCGGTTAATATGTCACATCCTTATTGCCAGCAAAATCTCTAGTTCGAACTTTTTATGAACAATTTAGATGGATTTTACGTTATCGAAAAATTTTAGATCCACACTAGAAAACTAGAAAAAATCCTCACAAGAAAGGCAGAAATTCAATAATGGCTCCTCTCGAAACACGTGTAGTCAGGCAGCAAAAATGTGAACATAATGTTATTGACGAAATGGTTAAAAATCAAAAACAGACCGTTTTAAGGTTACTCCCTTATCGTTGCGAATTGAATCCCATTGAAATGCTTTGGGCAAATGTAAAAAACTATGTGGCTCAAACAAAAGAACATTCAAATTTTCTGACGGGAAAAATTTGTTTTTATGAAGCTGTCAACAGTGACGGCAAACCCTTGGAAAGGTTGCATCCGTCACGTTCAAGAGACAATAAAAACAAAGATGTGGTATCTGGACAATATGATCGATACCCAAATTGAACCTCTAATAATTAATATTAACCATTAGGACGATAATTCAAGTATTTCCAGCGAATAAAGAATTGTGAAAAGTATGTGCACTTATTTCGATTAAAATAACACTGATCAACAGCCAAAAAATATCCTAAATAAAATCAACAAAATATTACTATTTTTAATGTGCTAAAACCGGAATGAAACTTATTTTTTCAATATTAGTTCAAGTTTTAGAGATATGGTAATTATATGTGTTCCTGCTGGGACAGTGTTAATATACTGTAATTCACAAGAATGCACGTGCTACATTTTTATATTCGGCAAGGAAAGATGATGTAATCGGCATGATTGTGTTACGTTATACATACGTGTACATTATATTGTTTTATATTAGCCATTTTTTCCTCAGTTGGCTGACAGCGTTCATGCAAGATGTCTCGAAAGTGTGTAAACAATCCAGATCAGTTTTGTTACGTGTGTGGTGATGTGACTTTTGCGTCTCAGAGACGGTCTATTACTCCGCTAATAACAAAGGCATATCAGCTTTATTTCGGTTGTAAACTAGGTGATCAAGACAAACAGTGGGCACCACACATCTGCTGTAATACATGTGCTTCAAGTCTGAGGAGCTGGTTAAATGGCAAAAAACGGTCTATGCGCTTTGCTGTCCCAATGGTTTGGAGAGAGCCTACAAATCATATTAATGATTGTTACTTTTGCATGGTACCTTGTGTTGGACAAGCCACAGGTATGTCCAAGAAAAAAAAATCTGTTATTAACTATCCAAACATACCATCTGCGATGAGACCTGTGCCTCACAGTGACGAAAATCCTATTCCAAAACCCCCAGAATCCTACACTTGCGAATCAGAAAACGAATCAGATCATGGCGATCGAGTGATTCGTCAGGAAGAAGATATGCCATCAACGTCAAGAGATCCTGATTTTATACCGAGCACGTCATGCCACCAACCGCACAAAATAACACAATCAGAATTAAATGATCTTGTAATAGATTTAGAACTTCCAAAATGTAAGGCAGAGTTACTTGGATCAAGACTGCAGCAGTGGAACTTGTTAGAAGACGATGTTTCGGTATGTGTTTTTCGTAAACGCCACAAAGACTTAGAACCATTTTTCAATATGGAGAATAACTTGGTTTTCTGCAGTAACATTAACGGCTTACTGGCGGCTTTAAATATAAACTATAACCCAGAAGAATGGAGATTGTTTATAGACAGTTCAACATTGAGTTTAAAGGCAGTGTTATTGCATATTGGAAATATTTTACCATCTCTTCCTGTAGGGTATGCAGTTCACATGAAAGAATCATATGACAATATGAAGTACCTATTGACATGCATAAAATACGATGAGCACCAATGGCATATTTGTGGCGATTTGAAAGTTGTTGCACTTTTACTTGGGCTGCAGCTAGGCTACACAAAGTTTTGCTGTTTTTTGTGTGAATGGGACAGTCGGGCAAAGGCACTTCATTACACCAAACAAAACTGGCCTGTTCGTCAATTCCTAGAGCCAGGTCAAAAAAATGTACAGCATATGCCATTAGTAGATTCGAAAAAAATTTATTACCACCACTGCATATCAAGTTGGGCCTAATGAAAAACTTTGTCAAGGCATTAGTTAGAGATGGGTCAGCTTTTCAATACCTGCGTCAGAAATTTCCAAGACTAAGTGAGGCAAAGGTTAAAGAAGGTATTTTTGTTGGGCTACAGATTCGAAATATTTTTTCAAAGATACACAGTTTGAAAACACTTTAACAGGTATTGAAAAAACTGCTTGGAATGATTTCCGTCTGGTGGTCACTAATTTCTTGGGAAATAGAAAAGCTGACAACTATAAAACTCTTGTCAAAAATATGCTGTCATAGTATCAAAAGATGGGCTGTAATATGTCACTTAAGATACATTTCCTACTCTCACACCTGGACTTTTTTCCTGACAATTGCGGAGCCGTAAGTGATGAGCACGGCGAACGTTTTCATCAGGATATTTCAACAATTGAAAAAAGGTACCAGGGAAAGTGAAATCCTTCCATGCTTGCAGACTACTGTTGGACTCTTGGTAGAGATGCTCCAGAAATGATCCATAAAAGAACAGCAAAAAGACAGCGCATATAGTGATTCTTATAAGTATATGAATCTTGTTACTTTTTTTAATATATCCTTAAAAATAACATTTTTTTTTTCTAAACCTCAACTAATTTTTTTATTTCATTGTCATTTTTGGATTCAGCGCCCCAAAATTAACAAAGAAGTGCACTTTTCCCACAAGATACAATTAAAAAATTAAAATTTGTTGTCCAGTGAATCATTTATTTTGTTAGATTATTCCAAGACCATTGAGGAAAGTACGGACCTGTACAATCTCGCTTTTGGGCATGTTGTGTTTTGTCTGGACGTAAATGGACTACGAATGGGTTATAGTGTGGAACAATTGATGTCTGTAACAGTTTACCGATTCTTTCAGCTTCGATTTGAATTCCGTCTCAATCCAGACTGCAATGGAAATACTCAAGAAGAGATTGACAACGCTTAGTGACAATCTTGCATCAGTTCCACAACTCAATAGAGATGTTGAAGAGATTAAGAAATTACTAAATAGTAAGTGATGTATATCACCATCACTAAATTTCTTATTTGAATTTCATTAGTGTAACTACGAGTATTTGTAATTGAAACACAAAAAACCAAGTTGGACTTTTATAAATTTATAAATGATTCCCAAATGTTTTGAAGGTTACGATTCTTTTGTCTGCTTTAATCAGTATTGGAATTATTCTACCTGTTGGTGGGCCAATAGTTTTGATTATAACATAACTAACTTCTGGTTTAAATTCGTTCACGGTCATTTTCCCATTCAATCCAGCTGATCCAGAAGCCGCTCCGCCAGAGATGCGTTTGAAAATGCTCGAGCACAAGTTTGGCGACACGATGGATCAACTCAGCTCTTTGGACAACAACTATTGCCGGCAACTTAACGCTTTGCAGAATAGAGTCACCGATATGGAGAGAGAAACGGCAGATCTGCTTGAGAAAGCAAATGTGTAAGAATGCTTATCACAGCTGTTAAGTATAACTTAAAATTTGGTAGTTTATCAAACATATTAATTGACAATTTAGGACAATATAAATCGACAATCTAAGAAAAGTTTTCTCACAATTAAAATCTAATGAAGATCCTAGTGAAAATCTCTCAAAAAATGTTCGAAATGAATAATTGGAGAGAAATTATTATTATTATTGGTGAATCATTGTTTAGTGGATGATGGCTTACCCTTACTCTTGTGTCAAAAGTTCAACATATACAAATATGAGGCCGATTAATGTCTTGCCAGATGTCGAGAAGCTGTTCGAATTGATAATATACAAACAAATCATTGAATTCGTTGAAGAAAACAAAATTTTGAAAAAATATCAAGCTGGGTTTAGAAAAAATGTTCTGCAGAAACAGCAATTCAAATTGTAGTGGATGACTGAATAGTATTTTTAGACTTCAAAAGGGCATTTTTGAGACTATAGTTAGAGAAACACTGTTGATGAAATTACATCACTATGGCTTTAAAGGATCAGTATTAAACGTTTCACAAAATTATTCAGTGCATAGAAGTCAAGAAACTAAAATTGGAAATATACTAAGTGACATATAAATCCGAACACCCAGTTTGAATGGTTTTATTTTAATAAAAGTTGGTGAATGTATTTATCTTACTATAAATAATAAGTGAAAAAATTTTCAGCCTTATCAGTTGGACATTCCGGTTTTTATACTGCTTTTTTTAACTCACTAACGCTCTAAAAATGAATATTTTAGCCGCAGTAAAGAATCAACGTTGGCGGATTTTGGTTCTTGACATCCTTTACGATCGGTTACGATGCCTAGAGTACGGAGACCTGTACGATTTCGTCAACTCAGTGAGTTTTATAGGGGCCGTATAGTGGGACTTCGGGAAGCTGGACTTTCTTTTCGGGCAATTGCAGTTAGAGTGCAAAGAAGTGTAGACACTGTGGTTAGGTGTTGTCAGGCATGGCTTCGAGAAGGCCGTACGCAAAGAGCAAGGGGCACTGGACGCCGCCGTAGAACAACAGACCGTGAAGATCGCCGCCTAAGGTTATTGGCCTTAAGGAACCGTTTCTCCACTACCAGGTCCATTGCAAATGAATGGTTTGTAGAACACGGAAGACCTATTGGCATGCGAAGTGTTTATCGACGAATGAGAAGTTTTGGCTTGTTTTCATACCGGCCACACTGGGTCCTCCCTTTAACTCGAGAACACCGACGTAATCGCCTTGAGTGGTGCAGACAATGGTCACTCTGAGATCAGGAATGGAACAGTATTGTCTTTAGTGACGAGTCTCGATTTTGTTTAGGCATGCACGATGGTCGTGCCAGGGTTAGAAGGCGACGTGGTGAAAGGAGGAATCCACAGTTTTTTGTTGAAAGACATGTTCATCACACTGTTGGAGTTATGGTTTGGGGTGCTATAGCTTATGGTTCCAGGTCACCTTTAATCTTCATCAGAGGTAACATGAACGCGCAGCGTTATATCCACGAAGTTCTAGAACCCCATCTTTTACCCTATCTTGATACCCTGGCAGATCCAACTTTCCAACAAGATAATGCCCGACCACATGTTGCAAGAGTCACAATAGACTTCTTTCAACATAATGATATCACATTGTTACCATGGCCACCAAGATCTCCCGACTTATCCCCAATTGAGCACGTGTGGGATATGATGGGTAGGAGATTGCTCAATTTGCAACGTCCTCCTCAGACTCTAGAAGCACTTCGAGAGGAGTTGGTGGTTGCCTGGAATGAGGACATTGACCACCTGATCAGAAGCATGCCTAGGCGCGTTGGAGAATGCGTAGCACATCGGTGTGCATCCACACATTATTAAAGGTCAAAGGGCTTTAAAGCAGTGCAATCATTTTGAAATTTTTATCATTTACTTATTATGCTTCATTAAGTACTTATACAAAATTTTATTAAAATAAAACCATTTAAACTGGGTGTTCGGATTTATATGTCACTTAGTATACATAAAGCAACACCATCCAGTAACAATGATCTTGTTAGAACAATTTTTTGCATACATGTATCTTAGGCTGAGAAAAAAGTTTAAACATCGATTTCTAATTAAGCCTAATTAGGCCAAAAGTCTATCGTTTAAATAGAATTATTAGTCCGTTTTAGTTAATATTGATGGAAAAGAGAAAGAGAGGGAGAGACATAATCAAAGAAGAAAAAAGATGGGAGGGCGATACAGGAGGAAGTGCGTCAGTTTGTTTGTTTATTGTAGATTTATTTAACATTAATGCTACAATATCAATGTTATACAGTATATCACATAATATATCATGCCTTCATATAAAATTTCGCTACTATGAATTCTGGTTTTTCATAAAATATTTTTTCAATTTCCGTTTAAACATTTTCAGACTGGCACACATCTTGATATCATTTGATGTTATATTGCTAGTACAATTCTGTAAATAAAAATCTATACTTCCTATAGTAGAATAACTATGGTACTCATTGGTCAATTCAATAAAATTTGTGAATGTGATTTGGTGGAGATGATTTTTTAACTTGAATATGAAAATAGAAACCAAGTATGTTATGAAATTTTTGTTTTTTAACCATTGTAGTATTCTAGTTTTATTTTTATTCAAGATGATTATCGGAGCTTTATCTTGTAATATGGAGAGATTCCTTGTCATTATCTACTACTACCATCTGGAAAATTAGTTTTGAGGTTTGAGATTTTCGATTGATGAACAAGTTAATGTTGTAGGTGATCAAATTTTACCATTTAGGGATTAGTGTCATTGGCGGCATCGTGTGTGATCGTAACACTGCTGGATTGAGTCTTATTTTATCAATCATTCAGTCACTGGTTCAACAGATAAAATAATAAATTTTGAATTGTTCTTTAGCGGAGGAGGTGCCACAGCTGCGGAAGTTTGTGTTTCAGATGAAGTTGCAGCCGTTGTAGCAAGTTTGCAGGAAGAAATGACAATGCTCACCGAAAATATGGAGAGGTTGGTTAATGATAAGGAGAAAGGAGATCATTTATTGGACGTGAGTTGCTATTTTCGAAAAAGAAAAATACTCGATCTTTTAGAGGTGTAGAACTTTAAATATAACCACTAATTAACGTTTTCTTCAAGAAGATGCCCAATCTTATGTTAGGGTAGTGGTGAGAATAATGGGTACCCAATACAGTTTGGTAACTATGATATCGACTTTCTATGGAACAAACCGCGATATCAACTATTTAAATAGCGCCAGCAGTACATTACAGTATGTTCTATACAATCACTCTGAGTAATGTGTAAATTTTAGTTCACTCCAGTTGAAGGTTTTGAAATTTTTTATTTTTAAGCTTCAACAACCCGTATCTTTTAAATGAAGCCCTTGAGGAAGGAATGTTACATAGAAGACCCCCCTTAAAATGTGGCCCTGTGTACGATCTTTCAGTTTTGGTCACGACTTGTGAATGTATGACATAAAGAAAAGGGATTTTGTGTAACAGACATTTTAAAGACTATACCATTTCGATACAAGAAAAACTGATAAAATAACTATACTAAGTGACATATAAATCCGAACACCCAGTTTAAATGGTTTTATTTTAATAAAAGTTAGTGAATGTATTCATCTTACTGTAAATAACAAGTGAAAGAAATTTTCAGCCTTATCAGTTGGACATTCCGGTTTTTGAATATTTCAGCCGCAGTAAAGAATCAACGTTGGCGGATTTTGGTTCTTGACATCCTTTACGATCGGTTACGATGCCTAGAGTACGGAGACCTGTACGATTTCGGCAACTTAGTGAGTTTGATAGGGGCCGTATAGTGGGACTTCGGGAAGCTGGACTTTCTTTTCGGGCAATTGCAGTTAGAGTGCAAAGAAGTGTAGACACTGTGGTTAGGTGTTGTCAGGCATGTCCTCGAGAAGGCCGTACGCAAAGAGCAAGGGGCACTGGACGCCGCCGTAGAACAACAGACCGTGAAGATCGCCGCCTAAGATTATTGGCCTTAAGGGACCGTTTCTCCACTACCAGGTCCATTGCAAATGAATGGTTTGCAGAACACGGAAGACCTATTGGCATGCGAAGTGTTTACCGACGAATGAGAAGTTTTGGCTTGTTTTCATACCGGCCTCACTGGGTCCTCCCTTTAACTCGAAAACACCGACGTAATCGCCTTGAGTGGTGCAGACAACGGTCACTCTGGGATCAGGAATGGAACAGTACTGTCTTTAGTGACGAGTCTCGATTTTGTTTAGGCATGCACGATGGGCGTGCCAGGGTTAGAAGGCGACGTGGTGAAAGGAGGAATCCACAGTTTTTTTTTTGAAAGACATGTTCATCACACTGTTGGAGTTATGATTTGGGGTGCTATAGCTTATGGTTCCAGGTCACCTTTAATCTTCATCAGAGGTAACATGAACGCGCAGCGTTATATCCACGAAGTTCTAGAACCCCATCTTTTACCCTATCTTGACACCCTGGCAGATCCAACTTTCCAACAAGATAATGCCCGACCACATGTTGCAAGAGTCACAATAGACTTCTTTCAACATAATGATGTCACATTGTTACCATGGCCACCAAGATCTTCCGACTTATCCCCAATTGAGCACGTGTGGGATATGATGGGTAGGAGATTGCTCAATTTGCAACGTCCTCCTCAGACTCTAGAAGCACTTCCAGAGGAGTTGGTGGTTGCCTGGAATGAGATACCACAGGAGGACATTGGCCACCTGATCAGAAGCATGCCTAGGCGCGTTGGAGAATGCGTAGCACATCAGGGTGCATCCACACATTATTAAAGGTCAAAGGGTTTTAAAGCAGTGCAATCAATTTGAAATTTTTATCATTTACTTATTATGCTTCATTAAGTACTTATTCAAAATTTTATTAAAATAAAACCATTTAAACTGGGTGTTCGGATATATATGTCACTTAGTATATATCGTGATTTACACAGTCAAGTCTAGCCACGTCACGTATACTTATTTTCGCACAGGCACGGCTTCCAATTCCAAAGTGGAATATTTTAAGCAAAGCTGAAAGTTGTAAAACCTTAGGTAATATCAGAACAAGTCGAGCTTCTGAAGACAATAAAGGCCGACAGAGAAGACTTGGAAGATGCGTTGGCGGACAAGGCTGACGCGTGTCAGATCAATAGAAAGGTGTCATTCGACCAGTTTGACCAGGCGTGCGGTGACATGAACAGGACCATTGAAGAAGCGTTGTCCAAGCTTGGACAACAGGAGATGCTGTGGAACCAAGCGCTTATGGATATACAGAACAGTGTTGGAAATAAATTGGACAGGTTCAGTATAGTTATTAAAAAATAATAAATAGAAAAAATAATGGTCAATATCCGTAAAAAGAAGGAAAGTGGTATCGAGCATAAAATAGGATAGGTAACAAAACAACACTCGGAGTCAGCAACAAGAGCCAACCTACACATTGTAGTATAATGACCCCAAGAAGACCTCGGATATTCGGCCGGACATCTAACCACAACCACGCGTACCTAAAGCCCAAAGGATCTACAAAAAAGAAAGTATCATGCGGGGAAAGGTATATAACAAAAAAATAATGGGTAAGATCTACAATCCAGCATTACGTATTGCTCGGGTTAAATGTCCTATTTTCAGCTCGAATCAACTTCTTTAATGTAAGATTTAATATATGTACTGAAGAAGGTCACTGTTGTGACCGAAACGTATACTGCATTAAAGAAGAATTTCAAATATACAGGGTGTTTAAGTTTATTGTTGCATAACTTTAAGATTCAATAGAACTTTTAAAATTGATGCATAAAGTCTATATATACATGGGTCGAAAAATGCGTGGCTTCCGAAATACAGGGTGTTTAAATTTACTTTCTAAAATAGTTTTTTTTTAAAATATTTCGAACAATATTTGATGTATAATAGTGAAAATTGGTATACAAGGGTTTTTTGGTACGACAAAACGAACCATGGGCATAGTTTTACTGTAGCCGCTAGAGGGCGCTCTCTACTGTACCTGTAGTGTATTAAAATGACTGAAAATTTTTTCTTAGTGCAATTTTTTGCTTTTTGAATAAAAAAAACTGATTCTTCGCACTTTTCAACATAAAAAGCTCTCTTGTGAATTTTCGTTAGAGTTAGCCGTTTTTGAGATATTTCGATTTTTAAGGTTCGATGCATTTTTAATTATCTATGATAAAGTAACGTTAAAAAGTCAGTATCTCGATAATTTTGAGAAGTAGGCTGTGCCTGCAAATAGTTTTGAAATTGAAAGCAGAATAAGGTTAAACGTCAAATAGTTGACAGTTAGTTTTGTTGTCTGTTGAAACCTGAAACGTTTTTTTGCAATTGTGAATGCACGAAATTTAGTTTCTTTTACCTGTTTTTTTGTAAGTTTTATAAAAATGCTATTTTTATTCTCCAATCAAGAGTTAGCGGATATTCATTTTGTGTATGGCTTTGTAAATGGAAACGCAGCAGAAGCAGCCAGAGAATACGCACGAAGATTTCCAAACAGACGACATCCAACTCGCTCAGTATTTGTAAGAGTGCATCGCCAAATAATTGAAAATGGTTTTGGAAATCTCCAAAGGGATCAAAACATAAATGTTCGTCAGCGCAGGTTTACCCGTATGATTCTGCGTGAGTTTGATAGAGATCCGACCACAAGTGTTAGGAGAGTTTCTTGGAATTTCAGCAAGCCATGTTCACCGTGTTCTTAGAAATGACCATAGACGTCCTTACCATTTGCAGCCTGTGCAAGGATTACAGCCAGTGGACGGAGAACGAAGAATCACATTTTGTCAGTGGATTCTTGATAGAACTGATAATAATAGGGAGTTTTTAAGTAACGTTTTATGGACCGATGAGTCATGCTTCACTCGACGTGGAGTGGTAAATTTTCATAATCAACATATTTGGTCGCATGAAAATCCGCATGCAGTTCGGGAAAGAAATTTTCAGCATGAATTTAGTGTGAACGTGTGGATTGGTATCTACCATAATCGACTATTTAGACTCTACCTTTTGCCTGCAAGGTTAAATGCTGCGACCTTCTTGGAATTCTTAAAGACTGAAGATGCAAATGTGTGGGATGATGTTATGTTAGATTTAAGAAGATTGGCCTGGTTCCAGCTTGATGGTTGTCCAGCTCATTATTCGAGAATAGTTAGAAACTGGCTGGACGAAAATTATCCAGAAAGATGGATCGGCCGTGGAGGACCAGTCGCCTGGCCTCCACGATCCCCTGACCTAAATCCATTAGATTTCTTTGTGTGGGGATTTCTAAAAGAAAAAGTGTACCAGACTGCCGTAACCACAAGAGATATGCTAATAGACAGAATCAGGAATGCATGTGATGAAATAAGGCCTTATTTGAATAATGCTATACCACGTTCGATCATTCGTAGATGTGAATTGTGTATTGAACGATTGGGTTTCCATTTCGAGCAACTACTTTAGATTTTGTAGGTTTGTCCTAACTATCCAATAGCATTTTAGTTGTAAATAATTAATTTAATTTGTTAAAAATAATATTGGAAAATTAAACAAATTAATATTCTGTTTTTTTGTGTTTATTTGGAGTTAGGAATTATTGCTGTGTTTAAAAACACAATCTAAACGATCATCTTAATTACTTGTAATGCCCAAATCGAAAATGTAAAAAAAAATATTATTTTCCCATAAATAATTAAAAATGCATCGAACCTTAAAAATCGAAATATCTCAAAAACGGCTAACTATAACGAAAACTCACAGGAGAGCTTTTTTATGTTGAAAAGTGCGAAGAATCAGTTTTTTTATTCAAAAAACAAAAAATTGCACTAAGAAATTTTTGTCGGTCATTTTAATACACTACAGGTACAGTAGAGAGCGCCCTCTAGAGGCTACAGTAAAACTATGCCCATGGTTCGTTTTGTCGTACCAAAAAAAATCCTTGTATACCAATTTTCACTGTTATACGTCAAATATTGTTCGAAATATTTAAAAAAAACTATTTTAGAAAGTAAATTTAAACACCCTGTATTTCGGAAGCCACGCATTTTTCGACCCATGTTTATTTAGACTTTATGCATTAATTTTAAAAGTTCTATCGAATCTTAAAGTTATGCAACAATAAACTGAAACACCCTGTATGTCGTTTCATTGGCCAGACAAACATGAAGGATTATCAGTTCTTGAAGGTTTACTTATAAACATCTAGGAATATTAATGAACATATGAACAGCATTGTGTATCAACTTTGTACGCTTTCAAAACACATGATGACGAATGAACAAGCTGCACTAGGGCGTGGTAGATACCAAAGCTACTATTTACATTTGGCAGCAATGTAATACTAGATAACGCAGAGCCAATGTATGGGTCCAACAACAGTGCAGACCTAAAGTTGTTGGACGATTTTTGGCAGATGGTGTTAAACATTATACATTACATTATCCATGCTCAATGCTCTTTAGGGTAGGGTTGTGAGACTGAGACACTTCAATTAAAAAAAAAACAGGTTAAAATGGATCTAAAACACAGCAACACAATGTAAAACACATAAAAACAATTTAAACACAAGTCATAAAACATGATTAAAAATAATAATAATAATAATATTTATTTACTCTAAAATACAGGGAACATGAAACGAGTAAATAAATATAATATATCCATAGGAGGACAACGCCTGTGCATGGATCATATGTATGTTGAATTGTAAAATATAATAAAATAGAGAGAAAAAAGAAATTATTGGTAAGAATGGTAGAGCATTTATTGTGTAATATTTGAGATTATTTTATTAATTTGATTTCTCCCAATCGTGTTAATAAATTTTTTTAATTTTTTTTTGAAGCCTAATGTATTGCGTAATTGTTTTAAATTATTTGGTAAATGTTCGTACAATTTTGGAGCTATATACAGGTGACATCGTTTCATTAGGGAATTGTTTGGTTTAGGAACATTTTTTGCGCGTAATTTATATCTGGTTTTATGATTATGTTTAATTATGTCGTGTTCACTAATAGTTTTGTGATAATGAGTGATGGTATGTAAGAAGTAAAGTTGTTTAGTATCATATACTTGTGCATCATTATATAAGTCATTAGTTGGGTATAATTTTGATTTGCCTAACATTGATTTTAAAATTCTTCCTTGAAGTACATCTAAATCGTTAAAGTATGTCGTGCATGCAGCACCCCACACTACTATACCATATGTTATGTGTGGCTCGACTAAAGCTTGATATATTATTCGTAGATAATATTCAGTTAATATACCGGTTAGAAATTTTATTTTATATGCTATGAATCTAATTTTCTTTAGTATGTGAGAAATATGTACATCCCATCTCAAGTGGGGATCTAGATAAATTCCTAAATATTTTGTATCATTAACTCTATTGATTTTTATATTTTTATCATTTAACTTAAACCGAAGGTGGTTATATTTTGGCAGATGATTAGATAGTGATGAAAATGGTAAAAAATGAGTTTTAGTAAAGTTAATTGTTAATTTTCGGTTATTAAACCACTGAATAATTTTGCAAAAGTCATTTTGGATAATATCTTTTAAGTCGTTCCAATCCTTACCTTTATAGAGTATAGCAGTATCGTCTTCAAAACTGACTATTTCACCAGTATTGTTAATTTTGAATATATCGTTTAAATAAATATTGAATAACAGAGGACCCAAAATTGTACCTTGTGGAACACCACATTCAACAAACATTTCTTTACTATACGAGCTTAATAATTTTACTGATTGCGGTCTATTTGATAAATAATTTTCCATTAAAGTATACATCTTTCCACGAAAACCTATTGTTTCTAAGATTTCCAAAAGTATATTGTGGTTAACTGTGTCAAACGCTTTTTGTAAGTAGACAAATACGACTACGTATTTCAAAATTCATTAACGATATAAAGTGCCTTTCTCATGAGGAAACTTTTAACTTCCGCTATGACTTTTTTGTAGCTTTTGTCGTCACTGAGACCAAAATGGACCTATTGTGACCCTAATATAACCAGTGAAAAAGTTCACTTTTTGATTCAAGAAAAAAAATACAAACTTAATCAAAAGAAAATATATATTACCATCAACATATTCGTATTCCGAGGGTTGTATTTCTTAAATATCATTCCGTCCAAATGTTTGTCATCCTTTCGGTCACACTCTTCTAATCCCGCGCACAAATTCTGAAACACTCTTGTAGAGTTCCGGAGTTAGGTTGTTTATATCTCGTCGAATGTTGTCTTTAAGCTCCTCCAGTGTTCGTGGATTATTGGAATACACTTTTGACTTTAGATAACCCCACAAAAAAAAT